AAAAAAAAAAAAAAAAAACTAGGATTAATTTGGAGTGAAGAATGTCAAGGGCATTATTGAAATTAGGAGTACAATTATGTAATAAACTTGGAAAATTTAAAATTATTAAGGCGCCCTTCCCAACAACAACATTTGCATTTTCACCTTTGCAAATTAGGCCACTTTTTTTATTATACTGTCTTCTTCTTCTTCTTCCTCCCTTCACCTTTCATTTTAACATCCTCCCTCCATTAATGGCGGTGCAAGCAACGAAATTGAAATCTGTAAGTATCTTTGTCTTTTTTTTTTTTGCCCCCCCTTTTTAATTGTTTTATTTTTACTTCAGCCTGTTTCATTAATTAATTGAATTTAATGATAAAATTCACCTTACGAAAGAAAAGATTTGATTTTTATTCTCTGATGCAGGTTAATAAGAGAGATTCACAGTATGATTTTCCTCATCCCCTTTGATTTTTTTCACTGGAATCTTCATCTCCTTCCCTGTTGTTGCTATGTATTTCAGGGCATGAATTTAGTATCTTTTTTATTTTGTCTGTGTTTTTGAACACACAGTAAAGCTTCCATGCTTTTGTACTTTTATTTTTACCCTTTTTTAGAGCAGTGAAGAAAAAAAAAATCAGTAATGTGTATCTTTTGAATTAATTGTTTACCCCAAGAATCCCCATTAAATTTTTAGGAAACAAAATAAAATTGCATTAACTCTCCATCACTCTCCCAAACAAACACACACACACACACACACACACACACACTGGGAAGAGATTCTTTGAGGAGGAAAAAATGGGTTGTTGGTATTCACGATTAGACCGAGAAGAAATGGTGTCGAGATGCAAGGCCCGAAAGCGATACATGAAGCAGCTGGTTAAGGCCCGACAGTCTTTCTCCGCCGCCCACATCATGTATGTCCGGTCCCTCCGCAGCACCGGCGCCGCCCTCCTCCAGTTCGCCACCGCCGAATCCACTCTCCACCACCAAACCCCACCGCCTGCCCCTCCCCTCCCCACCCCCACCCCACTCCCACCCCCACTCCGCCCGATGAGCCCCATCTCCTGGAGCACCACCACCACCTCCTCCTCCACCTCCGCCATCCGGCCACCTCCACCTCCGCCTCCTCCACCGCCGCCACCTGTCCCGTCCGGATCCACCTGGGACTTCTGGGACCCGTTCATGCCGACTGCCGGACGGTCGGCCGACGAGGAGGAGTGGGAGGATGCCGCCACTGCCACCACCACCACCACCACCACCACGGCCGCCGCCAACGTGGCTGGGCCGCCGTCGGTGGTGACCGCCACGACGACGACTGAAAACAGCGAGCTGGCGGTGGTGGTCTCGACCAAGAGCAAAGATCTGGTCGAGATCATTCGAGAGCTCGACGAGTACTTTCTTAAGGCAGCAAATGCTGCGGCCCCACTCTCGTTGCTACTGGAAGTCCCGGTTTCTAATCTGGCATCCTCGGGTTGGTTCGATTGTTGATAATTTATTTGACAGATTGATCGATTGATTGGTTTTGCGTGTGATTGATTTTCGTTTTTTAATTTTGGTGCAGGTAAGGATTTTGGGTTGGGGAAGAGTTCGAGTGCGTTGCTGTGGAATTGGGGATCGGGCAGTGCGAGATGGAATGCGTTTGGAAAATTCTGTGAGGATCCTAATGTGGGGACGTGTGTGGCTAGTGATGGTAATTCGAGTCATTGTTCGACAGTCGAGAGGTTATACGCCTGGGAGAAGAAACTCTACCAGGAAGTTAAGGTATTTGATTGTGATTTGTTGGTTACTCATTTTTAATTTCTTGTGGAATAATAGATATATGGTTACTCATGCTGTTCGAAATTTTGTATCTGTTGATTGATCTGTATGAATCTGCTGCGGTGAGTTGAAAAAAGATGACACGAGACTTGAGAGTGGTAATTTTATAAATATGATCAAAATAGTAAAAATTATATTTACAACTGCCTGTGGGATGTTGTAGAACGCAGAGCATTTGAAATTGGAGCATGAGAAAAAGACAGCAATGTTAAGGAAACTGGAGATGAAGAATGCTGACTACATCAAAACCGAGAAGGCCAAAAAGGAAGTCGAGAAGTTGGAATCACAAATGATGGTTGCTTTACAGGCAATCGAGACCACCTCTGCTGAGATTATTAAATTGAGGGAATCAGAGCTTTATCCACAGTTACTTCAGCTAGTCAAGGGGTTAGTCAGTCTCCTCTTTATAGCATTTTGTCAATTTAAATTTCTTTGTGATATATTAAGCGTGTCTGGGGATTGGACTTCTGAAAACCATAGTAGTGAGTGCTAATAGGTTTGTGCTGTTCCTAATATTAGTGTCATTTTATATGGGCAAATTGTAAAGTTGAGATCTTGAGAGAGAAATAATGATCACACTAGTTTTAGGAGTTCAAAAAAGTGCCAGTCTGGGCACGCCCGGTGGGAAGTCTTTAGACAGATAGCAAATGCGATTTCCAATTTAGGTGCTTAGTTAGTACGAGCGGACCATAGTGTGGTCTAACGATCTGTATAAACATCGGTTTACATGGTCAATACCTCATTAGATGCCAAAGTCAATTCAACACTACAATGGGATTGGAAATTGCTTTGTTTTCATGGTGTGAAGCAGAAGACTTCTACTGATCTATTTGTGGTGTGTGTTTTTATCTTTCTTTTATTTGTTTATTTATTTCAAATTTGCTGCAATTTTTTATTGATCCTGTAGTGTTATCATGCTCATTATCATAACTATCTACTGTCTCATTCATGCTTTCAGCATTACATGTGCAAAGCATGTTATTAAATCAACATTTTACAACTTGATGTGCTAATTATTTTGCAAAGGCTTCCCTAGAGTTTTGTTCATAAGTTAGGATCAATATTCCTTCCTTTACATCCCATCTTAATCTTCACTATATCAGCTTTTGGTTTCGGCATAAATTTTCCTCTTGACAATAACTTATGCGAAACCAACTCATGTAAAAATCCACTTCTTCTGTCAAATGGAGCAAAAATATAAACTTCCTAGTTGCAGTTCTAGATTTTTGGAGTTCATATTTAATTTTTTTATTCTAACATTTTCCACTTTTTTTTTTTTGGTAATTTCTTCAAAATAATCTTAAGGTTGACGAGCATGTGGCGGAGCATGTACGAGTACCACCAGGTGCAGACTCACATAGTCCAGCAGCTCCGATACCTCGACTGCACCACCCCTTCCTTAGAGCCGACCTCCGAGATCCATCGCCAAACGACCCTCCGCCTGGAGCTCGAAGCCCAGCAGTGGCACCTCTCCTTCTGCAACCTCATCCGGGCCCACCGCGAATACATCCAGTCCCTCTCCGGCTGGCTCCGCCTGACCCTCTTCCAAGTTGCCGGGCCCCGAGGCCCGGCCCGCAGATCCACCCCACAGGACTCATCCATCTACCCCCTCCTGGAAGAGTGGCAGCTGGCGGTCAACAACGCACCGGACAAGGTGGCCTCGGAGGGCATCAAGAGCTTCCTGTCGATGATACACGCTATTGTGGTCCAGCAAGCGGAGGAGCAGAAGCAGAAGAGGAAGTCGGAGGCGGTGTGCCGGGAGCTGGAGAGGAAGGCCGGTGAGCTGAGGTCGTTGGAGACGAAGCAGCTCGGTTTGGACAACAATCTGAGGGAGAAGAGGGGGAAGGTGGAGGGGCTGAGGGCGAGGGCTGAGGACGAGAGGGGCCGGCACGAGAAGGCAATTGGGGTGACCCGGGCAGTTACGGTTAGCAATCTGCAGATGGGGCTGCCCCACGTGTTCCAGGCTATGACGGGCTTTGCTAATGTGTGCAAGCAGGCGTTTGAGTCTGTCCAGAATGGGGCTCGTGCTGCGGAGGATCTCCATGGTGTAAAGTTGATACTGCCCTCGGAGGTTTCTTGAGGGTCGGGTCAGGTCGGGTTGGTGATGGACATGAGGGATGAAAATGAGGTAGGTAATTATAATTTAGGTATTTTATGGTGGTGTAGTGAGTGGGTTAGATTTGATGATAGTTTAGATTTGTGGTTGTGTTAGTAGGTTTTTCTTGACTTGGTTTGGTTGTTCTACTTTTGGGCTTGTTTTATATTTGGATTATTCACATTTCTTTTTTCATTTGGCTCTTCGTTTGTGTGTATATTACTGTTCTTGTACTAAAATGAAATGAGGAAAGGGTGGTGATGATGGAATGGGAAAGAATTTGAGGCCAGTCACTGTTTCAAAATCTGATTCTTGAAATTAAAACTGAAATAAAATAAAACTGAAACTATTCTTATTACATCACATTCTCATCACAACATAAACTGCACATGTATAACCACAATCGAATAGTAAATCATTGCAGTCTATCCAACTTCTCTCTCTATAATCCATCAGGTTGTTGCTAAATTAATCCTGCAAGTAAAATGTTATGACAACAAAACTAATCACTTGCTCAAGACCACATATGTAATCACTGTTAGATAGTAAATCATTGCAGTAAATACAAGTTCACTTTATAATGATGATGACAACGGTCTTTTCTTGTTTGGACCTGTAAGTTCGACTTTAATTGATCATGAGCGAGGGGCCATGCCAGCTTCAGTTAATCACACGGATCATGATAATAGTACATTGAACAAGATATGGATGAGTTTTCACAGCAACTATCCTTTCTGATATGAGGTATCAATTTCATAACTCGGTGAAGTTTATGGGACTCTACTCAAAAGGTTCATCTACATATTTTTACACCTACAAATCAATATCAACTGCTGGCAAAAGGTACATTCAAATCCAATACATGTCACGACGACATCATGGCACAAAGAGAAAGAACTTAATAATTACACGAGTGAAGTAATGTGGTGCATAGAGTTGAAATGAAGCAATAATGAGTTTGAAATGCTTAATGTGAAAACTGGTAGCTGGCAAGTAAAATGATTACTTAAATGACAAGTACACAAAAATAATGCATTTACTGCAAATAGCCGAAAAATGCAATTGGAAATGTGAATATCAAGGCAACTACCTCCATTACGAATCGGGTTGTTGTCCGCTACTTTCTCCCGCTAATTTTTCTGCACATACAAATCAACTATATAAAATACTGGGCAGATAACCAGTGAAAATTGAATTCAGAAATATATAACGTACAATTGTTTTTTCACAAAGGATAGCTAAGCAACAAAGGTGGAGGATTGACTAGAGATGTAATGATGCCCGCGCGCACACACACGTTATACATTAACATGGCATATCAGATTAACTTCATCTTACAGTCCTCACACGCGATAACAATTTCAATGGTAAAAGCATGGGGCAATTGGATGAACTGAGAAATAGAAAAGAACTAACAATAGGAAGACCTCCTCAGAACTCAATTACTCTTGAAATACAGAACCAACAAATTAAACAGAAAATTTTGTGCAAGTAATAAACTGGATAACACAACTGATAAAATCATGTAAAAAAGAATTGTATATTTGCAGAGGTTCAGTAAACCAATTTGCTTTCAACATTTAGAGTGTTTGGTAAGAATTATAAGCTAGCTTATAGTTGATTTGGTAACTTAAAAGATTTTTGTTTTCAAATAGCTTGCTTTGGTGCTATGAGATTTTTAAAGAAGCTCGAGCTTATCTCTTAAGCTTTACTGGGTAGTTTTTCATAAAAGACCGTTGAATTTCTTATTTCAACTTATTATCAGCTACTTTGACCAAACACTTTTGATATATCAACTAGTTTTTCAGCCATCAACCGTAAGCTATCATCTAAAAGCTGGAAATTAACTTATGAGCTATCAGTTAACTTATTAGCTATAAGTATAGCTAGCTTTTCAGTACCAAACATGCCCTTAGTGACAAACCATGCACAACATGAAAACAAGCAAAACACAAATGAATGAGGAGAAAGGAGTGACAAACCATGCACCAATCCAGTTGACATCATTCGGTCCATATTGTCGATTTGCCGTTGTACATTCTTCAAAACAGTATTCAAAGCTTTGACCCTTTTCCTGAGGCCAGAAATCCTTCCGGCATGCTGCATAATGAAGGGTGAGGGTGCATCCTCCAACAATTTATCGAGCTCTGCAAACAAAAAGAAAATTCACAACACTAAAGCACATGAAATCGATAACAGAATGTGCGATTCAATTTTAACAAATATATCAAAGTAACACAACTGGAATAGGTAAAACATTATATCCAACGAAATAAGCAAGTCACTTATATATGCGCATCACCTATGTAAATTGGAATATGGGCAAGACTGCAAAATTTATTACACAATGATCAGGCTCACTTAATGGAAATTGAACATAATGATCCTAAAGGGAATGAGTTATACACTTTTCTAAGCAGTCCAGTTTTGCAGCCACATTCAACAAGCAGACAACATTCAAGAATCAAAATCGGAAAGATCAGATCATTCCATGTGACGCTTAGAATAAGTGTGAACTGATTCGATTTTCCAAATGTATAAGTTGTAAAGCAAGAACATAACAAAATCAGAATGTATATATTGAGTTGAGCAGGAGACAAGGTAGTAACTAGTAAGCACCCTAAAACTACCCCTAATCCAAAGTAGCTTTAACCTTCATTGATGCTCATATAAAAATGAGCTAGTTAACAGCATTACAGCTGAGACACAATTCAAAAGGAGGATAATAAAGGAAAAGTTGTATGCTACCTCCGGTGAGACGATCGAGGGAAAAAGCAAGTTGTTCTTGGCTGCGGGATGTGGCGTCGGCTCTGGAATCGAAACTCGTCAATACAGATGAAATCAGAGAGTACAAGCCTTCCGCCACCGGCGAATCAGAGCAGCTGGATGTAATTATGTCACCAACACTGTCTGCTTTATCGCCGCTATCGGTGCCGGATTCCGAGAAGTCTTGTGCGGTGGAATCTTGCCGGTGGTAATTTGGATTACCGTCCGCTGTAATTGGAGCTGTCAAATGAGTAGCGGTTAAGGTACGGTTGGTGCCGCCATTGCTTTCGGCACCGGAGAATCCTATGGTGGCGGTACTTTGCTGATTGTCCGCCGGGTTTTCGTCCGCCATGATTTGGAATTTTTGAGTCAAGTTTAACAACAAGTGTTCAATTCCGGGAAGAGCTGAACTCGCATTGTCACTGGATAAATTACACCTTTATCCCCAATTTGAGACCTTTTATAGATTTTGATGCTATTTGACCATGTGCATTTGCAGAGATGTAAATAAATATTGTGAACTATTTGTATGCTATAATGATTAATTATTTTTGGTTCACTTTTTTGCTGACCAAATTTACAATTAAAAGAGTTTGAATATTAATTTATTTTTAAATTGTGTTTATCTGATTGGATGTAATGTATATTTTGGTGCGTCTTTTTTTGTAAATTATTTATTATTTATTTAAGAATTTTAAATAAGTTTTTTATTCTAAAAAACAATTTAACTGTAACCACAATAATAACATCTAATCACATTATACAGTCAACACACTATGTGGTCAACTGTCAGTAATCAAAAGTTTAAAATGATTTTTAACAATAAAATAAAAAATTAAATATATCAAAAGTAACAATTTTTTGAGGGAAAAAGATTAAATTGGCACATAAGTAAAATTAAATAGATTTTATTAAATGCTGTTAGCTAGTAATTATATTTTTATTTTTATATATATTATTTATCAAAATCACTTTTCATCCTCCAAATGAAAAAGGGCATTGGACCGTAAGGCCCAAATATATACCTATATTCGATCGCACATTCTAAGCCCAAAAAGCCCAAGGAAATAAATTCCTCACATATCAAACCCTTTCCTCATTCTACACTGCTGTTCTGTTTCACTGTAGCTCTCACAAACGAGTACGTCATCGTCTTCTCTAATCTCTGCTGAACGTTTGTTTTCCAATTTGCGCAAGCATTTTTATTTAGCATATGAGATTTATTTAAACTCGAATTAGACATATAATTTTGTGATTATTTTGTGTTCAGTTGAGAAAATGGCTGCCTCTGTAAATGCATTTCACGGGTTTCTCATTTATTCTGTTACTTGATTCTCCGTAATTTGATAGATTTTTTGGTGAATTTTGATAAATTGCTTGAATTGGGTATGCTAAAAATTCAGTCTTTCCTGCACGGTATTTGCAGAAGGTTGAAAAGAAGGAATTTTGAGGAGAAAGAGAGAAGAAAATGGCGCTAGGGTTGATTTTGGGGTTAGGGAGGGCGTTTAGAAGGAAGCGTACATCGTCTCTAGACATCCTGACCTCAAAGAGGAGCCCTCGAGGCTATTATAAGGGCAAAAACTGCAAGCCCACTGGCTTTCATACACGAAAAGGTTATTCTGTGTAATTTATGATAATCTTATACTTAGGTGCAGTGTTATTAATGGCGGATGGCGGTACATGGCGGTTTGCCAAAATTCCGCCATGGTGGCCGCCGTGGTGGCCTATGGCGCTGCCATGACCGCCATTCTTCACTAATTTTGCATGGCGGATTGTCAAAAATCCGCCACGCCATACCGCCATGGCCGCCATTTGATAACACTGCTTAGATGTTAGATTCATGATGGAAATGGCTTATTCAGAAGTGTAATTTTGGCACTGTAGTGTCTATATCAGTAACCTTGTTCACTATCGGTGATTTTCTTGTGTGTTATAGAAATTTGGTATGTACGTTGATGTTTCTGACTGCATTTTTGACTAAATATGCTTCTTGGGATTTTATGAGAATTTTAGAGATATTCTGCGTTTTGATAGGTTCTAATTTGTTATGTTTTCACGTTTGTTAAACTATGCACGGCTATAAGTAAAGGTGTCATTATCTATAGTTTTCGAGCTGGAAGTTAATAACCGTGCGTGAAACTATGGCACTTCTACTGTTATTTCTGATGCCATTATCCACCACGCTTTGTTCACATAGAGATGACATCTTTTAGATGGACAAGTGGACATTGCTTAAAATCAGAACTCAGGCATAATGCTAAAAAAGTTTCATTCTGTCAACAGGAAAGGGAAATTTTGACGTGAACTCTTAAAACTAGATAGTCGGACAATGATTTTTGAGGCTCTGTAAGGTTGTCTATTAAGTTTACAGAAACGCTCTTAGTTTTTCTTGATTACGGTTGTTGTAGTGAACCTTCTCTTTATCTATTATTTTTTCGATTCATTTTCCAGGGATGGATGGGGTGGCGGAGCTTGTTAATATTTCTAAATATTTAACATGTGTAAACTTGCTAAGGATGGACAATTATGTGTGATAATGCTCTATTTTAATCAACGATAAGTCAAAAAATATAGCAAAATGTAACCATACCTATTATGATAACTTTGTTTAGAATAAAGCTCGTGCTGTCGAAGCTTCTTAGTTACTGACAGTAAACTATATTTCTCTGCAGGTGGTTATGTAGTGGTGCCTGAAAAGCTGCCAAACTATGTGGTACCAGATCTAACTGGCTTCAAGGTATTCAAATTCTATATATTTCAATTTTCAGATATATTCATCAGTCATCACAAAAATAAGAAGTGCATTAACAACTAAATTATGATGAAGGCAATGTGTGGTTGCTCATTATATACGTTCCTAAAAAACATAGGTTTAATGGGATTGGGGACAATTCATGTGTCGAATTAAATGAATATTTTGTTTTCATCTAGTGCTTTTGTCAAATATTGCTTTTTACGAACTAGTTACATTGTAATGAAAGTTGGTTGTTCTCCTTGTGTCAGTGAATTAGCTTATCTCACTCTTGATTTTAGAGTTCCTTACTATAAAATCTTGCCGATTGACAAGCAATGTCATAAACTCATGGCCACATACATTAATTTCAGATGAGGTCTAATACATTTGTTTTTCATGATTTTCCAGCTAAAACCATACGTGTCACAATGCGCCACAACAGAAGCAGCTAGCTCGAACAAATGAGATGAGACGTGTGGGGGTATTCTGATTTTAACACAGCTGGAGCATGCATGTCAAATATGGGTTTTTTTTATACATTGAGTTCCCGTTTTTTGGTCGAGTCTGGATAGTGCTGGGACTTATTTATCGCCATAGAACATTTTTCATGTGCTCCTAAGCTTATGCTGCATGAGATAGGGTTTCAAAATACAGCAAATTCACAACCACCTGTCATCTTGGGTATTTGTGTGTTGTAAGACTTGGTGTCATAATTTAATGACTTGTGGAGTCAGTAGTGAGCTGGTTGGGTATCATAAAAAGTTAGCTTTTCAGCTATAAATTATAAGCTATAAACTCGAAAATCACTTATAAGCTATAAGTTAGCTTATCAGCTATCAACTATAGCTAGCTTGTTAGCTATACCAAACATAACCATAAGGTACCATCGATAAGTTCAAAATTCACTTAATTAACTCATCAACTATCAACTAATTTATTAACTATTTTTATCAAGTTCTTTTTAAGTCTAATTAGATATGACCGTTTTGGATTTTTATTTTTATGCTCCTACTTTAAATAAAAATTGTAATTCACTCTTGTTGCATTTCTCAATTTATGCAGAATGGTGTTATGGTGTTTGAGCACAGTTCAAAATCACACCAAAAACAATTGACTGACCAGTTAAAAATTGTCAATTTTGAACTTTACAGTGACAACGAAGTGTGAGATAGTTATCTTGTTTTTTGAATAACTAATATTTCAATTAATAAGAATAAACACGATTTTCAATTTATTTATAATATAGTTATCTTGTTTTTTGAATAACTAATCTTTCAATTAATAAGAATATACACGATTTTCAATTTATTTATAATTTACCTTATAATTTACAAGTGTTGATATAAATAGCATTAAAATTTATGGAGATTCTATAGTTCTGTTATGGAACCATTTTGTCGAAGTTTATAACCGTTAGATCAACTGGCCAACACCAAAAACCGATGTTCAAATTCTTAGTCCACGACAGTTACATGATGATTTAACGGTTATAAATTCTGACGAAATGGTACCGTAACGGGACCGTAACGTTTCCTTAAAATTTATGCAGTGTAACAAAATGAAACTTCAGAATGCGAAGTGACAAATATAACTATGTTTTCAGATAAAAATCTCTGAACGCAAGTAAAATTTTCTGCAATTATTTCCTTCACATTTCATTGCAGTGATCGGCGACGGCCGGGGCGCGGTGGCGCGTACCGCGACGGTGTAGTGTTTCTTTCTTCTAATTTGATTTCCTTATCACGAACATATCCGGCTCTGTGGCTTGTGAATTATTAGGGAATTTCGAGGTTATTTATTCAGTTTGTCAATGTTCGTGTCCTTTTTTCGCTGTAAAAGGCAGTAATGAAATACAGTGATTTCGGGTGTGTCTGTAGTGGCTGCTCGACTAAATGTTATGAAATCAGTTTGTTGCACAGCAAGAATTGAACTAGAATTGTCTGCAATTGGCAGAATTTGATATCTAATTAATAGGTTTGATATCAAACTCAAAGGATTCTTTTGGTGCCATTGTTGAGTAGAATGAAAATTCCTGTTCTTATTCAAATTATATCTTCCCCAGGTTTATAAATTTGTCGGTAAGCTTTACGATTCCCACCGTGCGAAATAAAAACCCATGACCAGGAACTTTCACTTGTCAATCCTCTGAAAATGGAAGAAATGTTAATCTTGTTCTTGGAGTTCATGATTTCTTGATTGTATTTGGTTTGGGACTATTTTATGAAGGTTTTACCCCTTTACTTGATAAGGAATATTGTGTAATATCCACTACATTTTGGTCTTGCTTTGAGATTTATTATGGGTTTCATTTCTACATTTTTTTTTTTCAGTAGCAGTCTGGCAGATGCTGTGAATTCGTTTTGACATTACATTGGACAATCAATGCTCACTCAACATGTCGTTTTCCCGGTTATCTAGAGGAACCCGATTCTTTTCTTGCATTAAAGTCCCTCTTCGTCCAGTTCCCTTTTTATGCAGGTAATTTACATCACAAGTCCTGGTTGATGTTAAACTCAAGTATTTGTTCATTTATTACTTAGAAATATGGTACCATTGTTTTTACCTTAAGGCACCAGCTGGATGCTGTGGATTCAAAGTACAATTATTTGGGTAAGATATACAGCCCAGCATGTGGAGTTAACTCCCTGGGTTTCATGTCGAATCATGGATATAAATTGAGGAATTGTACTCTGCAAGGGTCATGTTCTATAAATTATGGTCGGCATTATTCTACACATGCTACCACCGAAAAGAAATCGAAGAAGATGCTTTTGTACTTGACTGGGTTAGTCTTTGCTATGGTGGGGTGTAGCTATGCTGCGGTTCCTTTATACAGGAGATTTTGTCAAGCTACTGGTTATGGGGGAACTGTTCAGCGTCGGGAGGTAAAGTATTTTGATTTATGGTAATGATTTATTTGTTTTTATTTGATATGTTCGATTGATAGTTTGATACAGGGGTGATACCTGTTGGGTCTTTTGTAGAGTGTTGAAGAAAAGATTGCCCGTCATGCAAAGGATGGAACTTTCATGTCCAGGTGAAAATCCCATAGCTTAAAAGAGATGCTGATTTGTTTTACTCATTACTTAGTCACTGCATGGCTGAGTTCAATCTTTACAAGGATAAGGAAAGGTGACCTAAAGCACAGGATTTTAGTACAGAAAAATCTAGAAAATCTACATGATGAGGTTCCAGTAGAAGTTAGTGGCATTATTATACTCATTAACTGGACTTGATTTATATATTTTTGGGATAGACGACAATGACATCTGAGGTTTATGGTTATTGCTGAAAAGACTCGGCTTACAATTACATGAGTTATCCTTGAAGTTTTATTTTGTCGTACATGTTCCCCAACTGTTAGTTGATTTTCCGTTTTAGAGTTCCTATATAAGTCATGATACGTTTATGAAATTTTCTCTTAATTTTACTAAGGCAATAGTTTGTTCAGATGGAATAATATACTCTGTAAGTGAGTAAAAAGCAGAAAGTGGCTTATTTGCAGATGCTTAAAGTCCATTTTTTGGTGTATTATTGTAAGCATCTACAATTCCGTTTGAACTTACTTTGTTACTATTTTATATACAGAATTTAGAATTTTTCTTTTTCCAACAGCTGTCTGTTCAACCACTTAGTGAAATTCATTAAATCCCACTTATTGTCCTTTTTATCTTCTGAATGGAAGGTAAGATGCACCTTGGTAGTTATGTTGCATGATCTTTATTTCTTATGGACAGGGAGATTGTTGTACAGTTCAATGCTGACGTAGCTGACGGGATGCCCTGGAAGTTTATTCCAACACAGAAAGAGGTGTTTGAGTAACTTACATAATTTTCATGTACACAGAGATTTTGTTGGGAGAATTATAAAAAGTATCCATGAGGCTCAAATGATCACAATTGCCCAACTACCCCACTCGTCAAAAGTAACTAACTAAATTAAAAGGTTCATTTACTTTAAAAACATGAATAGATCTTGATACGTCTTGCTATTCGACATGCTATGCCAGCTAAAGTGCGTATTTGGTATATTTGTAAGTTGTCACTTGTAAGAGGAAAGGATTTTATTGCGCGAGTAAGCTACATCTCCTGAGTTTTTATGATCCGCTTATAAATTCTTGTCAGTTTGCACTTTCGGAGGTCACGTGTAAAGAAATTTTGCTTACATTTTAAATATCTTTAGCCTTTTAACATGATTCTGCTGATTGACATTTACAGGTAAGGGTCAAGCCAGGGGAGAGCGCCCTTGCATTTTACACTGCTGAAAATAAAAGTTCAACTCCAATAACTGGGGTATCCACGTATAATGTCACTCCTATGAAGGTACATAACATTGATGGTTTAAGATCTATTGATTTTTTAGCAATATTTGGTATGCACTCGGTTAACTTTTTCATCTGTTTCTATTTGTTTTACCCCGGTTTAGTTTTGAAAATATTGCTTATTTGATGAATTGCTTGTGGTATTGCCTATATATCACCATCATTGATGCATGGTATGGCACACCACCATATCACCCCACGAGTTTTTGCTTAGTTCAAATTGTGGACATCTTTATGGACATAGAAAGTGATAGCCATTAAAATGGAAATCCGTCATTCTCAAAATTAACCCTTAGCACTACATATCCTTCTTACCTAATATACTCCGTAGCTAATTAGTTAGTCTCCCAGCATTGTTTATCGACGTATGAACAACAACAACAACAACATACCCAGTATAAGTATATTCCCAACTGTTGGGGTCTGGGCGTCAGTTGTACGCAGACCTTACCCTTGTATAATTATACAAGGAGGCTGTTTCCGTAGCGACCCAAGGTGCATTGCGTTGTTTGATATATTTTTTTCTAGAAATTTCACTAATAGAAGAAGCACTAAAATTTAATTGAGCCATTTTGATATACTCCATTATTAGCACTATGTCAGGAGAATTGTGAACAATGACTCTTCCAGCTCCATTTGTACTTGAAAAAGGAAAAAAAAAATCTCAGTGGTTTGTACTTGATATAAACATTTTTGCTTGTTTCAAAAAAAAAAAGATATAAACATATTTGCTCGTCTGTTATTATGCATTTTCTTTTCATTGTAAACTAAGCCTGCGGCGCCAATGGTAGTTTGGTAATTGGTCTGTTTTTGTTTCTTATTTCGTCCGGGTCATTGTTTTGTAAATGAACTGATGTTTTTCAAGTCCTCGCATTCGTGCTTTACCAATGGTAACTATGTCACTTAACTTCTCATTTTGTCTATTTCTTTGTCAATTGCATGGCATCTTCATGAAAGATATCAACTGTAAATGGATTGACAGAAAAAATCGAACTCTTAGTTTTAAGTTATACTTTTGAAACCTTCTTATCATCATGATTCATGTATTCCAAGTATGAAGAAGGCACTAGAATTTTTGTCTTGTGTGAAAAGACATTTACTATTTTCAGTTGCCCGATTCTTTCAGGCTGCAGTTTACTTTAATAAAATACAGTGCTTTTGCTTTGAGGAGCAACGGCTTCTCCCCGGAGAACAGATTGACATGCCAGTAAGTCGGATCCCTTTCTATTATTCCTTTTACAATGGTTCATTGTAACCTTGTTAATGTGTATTACAGTATAAGCATGAATTGTGTAGGTCTTCTTTTACATCGACCCAGAGTTCAAAACAGATCCAAAGATGGATGGCATCAACAACTTGATTTTGTCTTACACATTTTTCAAGGTTTCTGAAGAGAATTAGCCTTGCCTTTTTGTCTTTACATTCGGATTAGTTGCCTTCACCAATTTGTTAGGGGAGATTAGATAAGATAAGCCAAGATATCTACCCTTAATCTTGTATTTGCTACCCACGATTCTGGCCCGCACGACATGACACGGCCCGCGATGCACAGTGCCTTTATCGTGCATATTCCCGATAAATGGGTCTGGGCTGAGAGGTGCGATTGTAACATGTCTGAACAGTGTTTCTATATGAAATGACTCTATTGTCCCTCAATTACCACTACCTAGTTCATTGATGCAAGCCTGCAACCATCGCCTTAATCAAAATTTTTCGGCAGATCTCGTACCTCCATCTCCGCCGCCACGTTCTCCAGCCTCTTAGTGCCGGTGCCACCCTTCACCCCTAAATACGTGCCCTCTAACTTCTCCTCAGAAAGATTGGAGAACTGCGTGACGCCGTGGACGGCGGTGGGGTCCATCGCCTGGTGCTCCGCCGCCATGATAAGGTTCCCAACGGAGATCCTCGGACAGTGCAGGTACTCCGAGTGAGATGCGTCCTCCCTCCGGTACTCTTGTCATAAAGTTCTTGAACCTGAGGTCCGCCGCCGTGCCAAAGAGGTGGTTGTTGGTCACTTGGAGGATCTTTGAGTCTTATTGCAAATTGTTACTCTTAAAGTGAAGATTGTTACTGGGAGAGAAAAATTTCGGGTGAAGATTGAAACTGTGCGAAAAAAAAAAAGATTGAACCGATGTTGCAAAGGAAGGCGGTGCAGATGTATGTAGTAGGAAAAAAAAATTGAAGGCACAGATGGCTATAGAAATCTGATTAGGAAGAAAGAAATGAGAACTACAAAATTAAAAAAATAAAGAGGAAAAAAAAAATTGAAAATGGTAGGGGCAAAGTTGACAATACACAATTATATTTTATTAGTTATCTAAAGAAACAGACTGTGGTAAGTGAAACACTATCTTATCCGAATTAACAATCATACGTAACAAATGTGAGTTTACTTTTATCTACACAGTATAATCTACCTTTCTCATATTAATTTAGTCTAATCTCATCCTGCGAAACAAACGAGCCCAAGTGTTGTTTCTTTAGGACGAAAGAATAGGCCAATAGACTATTTTGCTACATGAGATCACAGAGAAGCCTTGCTTGTAGTAAGATAAAAGTTGTTGGAAATAAGAAAAAAAAAAAAAAGGAAAACAGCTGCTGTTGTTTCTTTATATATAAAGCATTTGTGAGTTGTTAGTTGGTTTGTTACTAATAATCTGACTTTAATGGATAGATATAAATAGTACAATTGGGCATCATGACTGGATAATGAATTATTATTGGAATGGGATATGATCCCACTTGGCGTACATGTGGATTGCGAGCCCCACTACTTATCAAATATTAGACGATTAAATTAGTCATGTTCCCCGCCCAAGATTTTATCCCAGTCTTTCCTTTACATATTTGCGGGCCCCATTGTTTCAGACAATCCCATCATACAAAGTAAACGTGGAACAAATTGCTGACGTGTAAAGTATCTTTGATTAATTTGTCTAATCTTATCTCACAAAAGTAAACGTCCCTTGATGAATGAGATAATCATGCGCTGATAGTGGTTTTTGGTGAAAAAAGTTGAGGTAGAAACATCATTTGACCACAAATATACTTATTTTGCTGTGAATGCGGAGATATATTAACCATGCCGAGTTTGTACTTCACCTCTGACTTCATTCTAATTCTCACTCTCAACACACTAACTAATAGATGTTTCCATATACATAGGCCGCAGGTGTGCGCATTATATAGTTAAATATTTTATACCATAATTCATAAATTTGCTTTGTATATTTGGCGAGCCCCTTGCTCCTTAAACAGCCTACGAAATGCACTTGATCAAATAAAAACCGTGACCGTGTCACAACGAGCATATCACATCTTTCACATCCTTCAATGAAAAATGTTCACAGACTTGGGGAAAGTATGGAAGTACCGAAACTTCGCGTATTTGATTGATATAAGTTTTGTAAGTCCTACACAAAAATAAACTACTATGGTTCTCAGGAAACAAGTCCACAAGAAACCTCAGCATAAATTTCTTTCTGAAACAACATCATATCTAATTGTCATCGACCTCTACTTTTCTTCCCAACTCATCAAAAAACTTCACACCCAATATAATTTCACTGTAAACATAGAAACAAGAATATTAAAAAATGTCAGATTTAAAACCTTTTCGTAAACAGTAATGTTTGACTACACTCCAAGTCAGAAAGCTTACTCCAATACAGAGGAAGCATACCTGTCGAACTTATAATGATTATACAGATAATCTGATTCCTCATTCACACTTGATCGATCGGTATATATGGCGAACAAAGAACAAAGCAGCACGGAAACCCACAGCTCCAAGCATTAGGAAGAAAGCATAACACACACAAGCCATGTACCCAAAGAAAAATGACGTTTGCATGAAGCCCGACATATCAGACCGCGCATAGTAGTAGTAGAGGCAGTAGCCATAGATAAACAAGCCAGTTGATCCACCACATAGGAATGATCTGATAAATTGTGAATAAACGAGGTTAGATTGCACACGGGTCACTGAACTACACACAGATCATGGGATTAGAGAATGAACCTCAGAACAAGTCCTACTACAATCACCAAATACATCTAGTTACTATTTGCAAGCATAGTGTGCCTGGACACGAGTTTCATAAAGTGCGATAAGGGGTTGTGACACAACAAAATTAATTTAGATGTCACAAACTATTTTAGAGTGAGCATATAGGAAACAAGAACCAATCAAAAAACCAAACTGACTACACAAACTACATTACAAGTACGAGAAACCTCAAATCATCATGCACGAAGCATGTAGTTTGCTTATCAGATGTTCAAGCTAAATTCAACACGACACATACCTCCACCACCATTCATGATCTTCAGCAGCAAGTTGGAAATATGTCAACGCCACAGTGATAAATGCGGTGACAATCAAGAGAATAATGAAGACTATGAATAAGATGCTGTAAATGGTGTAAATCCTGTGACCCCAGACACTGGCAAATATATAGTAAAGCTCAATATATATGGCACTGAATGGCAAAAATCCGGCCATGGCCATCTGAGGCAGGGCCCCTCGGTACCAAGGCAGTGCAGGGATCTCCCTAGGATATTTCGTGGTGCGACAAGGAGCTTGAAACTCAGCCTTACTGTTTTTCCCTGCTATTCCTCCCAATACTAGCAAGGGTGATGTCACGAGAGCCCATATCAGAAAAATCACTACAATGGTACCAAAGGGAAGAGCTGCAGTAGCATGGTAAGCAATGGCAACAGTGTTAAGGAAGCAAAATGTGAGAAAAAGTGGTCCACAGAAGAGGCCTCCAGTCAAAAGTAAATTCCGGACCTGTTAAAACAGAAAGTACATGAGGTAAGAAAAAGGTATGGTGGCATGCTGTACACGTGCACACAGAAATGAAGGTAGAAACAAAATACTGCTGGCAAAACATCTGATACATCTATATTAGAAATTTATCATGGCAGTGTTGTTCAAATCGAACTGACTAATGAACTACCTGAAAATAAAAGGTACAACAAGCTTCGAGCAGCATGTGATATGTATTCCACAACTTGATGGGCTACAACAACTTAGTTGTTATCATCTGACTGAAACTAACCTGAAATCCTCTATATCACTATATCCTTTTCTCAGGAACTGCCTAGTGGTTCAAGCAGTCTGAAATAGTGTCTAAGACAGACAAACAGAAAGGCTTGTTCCTCAAAAGTGATACGCCAAATTCAGAGAGCATGAAATAAGAAATTTTAACACAAAAAATTAAATCCATCAAAGACACCTACATGTGAAATTCAAATGAAACAAACAAATGATGACTAATCTATATATATTACCCAATTTTTTCCCTCTAACTGGCAATAGAAAGATGCTGCTGTATATCCAGCAATGCCAGATGTGAGTGCATATATGACCACCAGTGCAGTGAAAAGAGCTCCTCGGTTGTAAGGATAAAATACACCAACAAGAGCAAGTAAGAATATAAAATTCGTCCTGGAAAAAATAAAAAATAAAAAAAAAATTCAATTAATCCTGTCGAAGGTATAATCAATAGTCCTCAAATGCAATTACCATAACAGACAAAACATGTTGACAAATACTTGTGTACATTTAAACCTCCAAAGATATACTTACAGGGTAAAGAGTTGTGTGCCACTCCCAAGGGCAGCAGCAAACAAAGACTTGTACTTTGGAAACCTGAAAACATCACCATGAATGTATTTCCACCCAGTTTCTTCCTGGTCATCTGCTGTCTCCTCATCATGGGCATACCTTTACCCGAAAAAGTAAAAAGAAAATAATATCAATAGAAATTATTTTCACTTTCTCGAATGTTGAATATAGCAAGAAGTCCTTACTTGACGAAATCATTTTTGAGTACTCTCATCAAAATTGTGGCAAGAAATCCAGTAAGAAGAAGAACAGTCACACATGAATTGATAATTGAGAACCAATGGATCTCCAGGTGACGAGGAAGTGAGGAAGAATGGGAGTACTTCTCCATCCTTTTCTCAAAAGGTATGCTAGTTTCCTTCCATTTGGCTGAGTACATAAACTCCACATCAACTTCCTTATCATCGGTAAGGTCTACAAGGGCACTGGGGTCTGTACGTGCATTGATCTCAATCACACGATCTTTGTTATAGAAGATTTCAAAATGGAGGTGCTTAAATAGGTAATATTTGTACTCGCTAGGATCTGTTTTGCCTTCTTTGTCAACCTTTCCCAGGAAACCCCATATTGGCAAGTCATCATAATACATTTGAAAATAGTAATCCTTTGCGACTGCACTACGGAACTCAGCAACTTCTTTCTTTGACAGCTGCTTCTTACAGATGACTTCGGACTCCCTATCAACCAAAAAGTCAAGCTTGTACGGAGCACTGACCAAACGGTCTCCATTTAGCACTTCACCAAGAGCTTCACTTTTATCCTTCACTTTACCTGTCAGCAAGAAAAGTCTGGTTCAGAGTAAAACAGTGGTGCTGATGAGTGAAAAAACGAGGACGAGAAATACCTGGAGAACAGAATGGGAGGTCAAAGTAACGGTATGTTTCACTGTAATAAAAAAAAAAAAAAGAGTATCAGGATATGAGCATTACAAAATAAGAAAATCAATAGTTCATTATGTTACAATACCGAAACAAATGTAATAATGTTGTAGCATTCCCACAAGTGAGAAAATTTTACATATACTTTTACAACTACACAAACAAAACAATTTATAACCTAAAAAAACCTTGCTCGTAAATATGGCATTAATGACAAGTTATATAACTGCTGCTTTTAAGGAAATCATGAGAACATATACGCTTCTATATCAACCAGAGTACATATAGGATGATTTTTCATTTTTTATTTTTTAAAAAGCAATATAAATTCCCCATGTTACAAATACAAATCATCTATAAAAGAAAAATAAACGACTCTCACAAAGCATTTGAATTAACAAAATTTTTCAAAAAGATAATAAAAATCTCAATACCTCAAAGACACTGTTAAGATTCGACAAAAGCTATTAATGCAAAATATACTTCTGAAGTCACATTACCATTAAACGAGATTGATTAATGTCATCCCATAGTTTATACATCATTTCAAAATCAGATAAAGCTAATACTCTTGAGAGGATCAAGAGTTAAGTAATAAAGATTTTCACCATAGACATTTTCTTTTAATAGAGGTTTACTGGAAATTTGTGATAGGATCATAGGAATAATTGATCCTTCCTGAACAAACTTCTTAAGCATAAGAGGTAAAACAAAGCAAAAGGAAAAAAGGTAGGAATCAACAAAATCATCCCTTATCCCAACCAAACACACCCATCAAGGATACAATCACACCATCCACTGCAAGATAACTTTTAGAATATGAGAGAAAGATTGAATTATGTTATCATACAGTGCCCACCCATAAATTCACGATTTTTGGACCAGTTCTAATCTTTGGACCCATCTAAAATCTTCAACAAAGAATAATTATTAACAAATTTAACATTTTGTCATAAACTTCTTTCTAACCAGCTTCCAGTCAGATTCTCTGATAAAATGTGGATCCTTCACTAATTCTTTGAGATGGAGCCACCACATTCATATCAATGCAATATGTCTGATCAGTAATCAATCACTTCATTCCTTATAGATGAAACATTCATCGTGGTCATTGTTATCGACCACAAAAAAAGAATTAAAAAAAAAAAATCATCCTTTATAGAAGCTGATACAATCATTTTAGTCCCCTTGAACCTTATTTTGTTGGAAAATGATAAATTTAACAACTCTAAAAAGTATCAAAACTGACGGCTATTTTAAACAAGCCATGCCTCAAAATTCAGCAATTACGACTATACATGAAATAGATGAACAAATTACATATTCTCCTGCTGCATCTCATTCCTGCAGCCAAAACTTGCTTCAAAAGAAAACAAAAAGGAAAAAGGAAAAGAAAATAAAAAAGCCAAAATCCCTAACTTACATAAGATAGTCCCTCTACTAGGGTGCTCATAGGATGGAGATGGATATATATCGTATAATTCAACTATATATACCTCACTTGATTCTCTTATAACCTCCATCATCAAATTCCTCGGGATCTTCCATTAATCCCAAAAACCACACAACCGATTAGCTAAAACCGGGGAAAATAAATCCTCAGCAGTGGACAAAAATTAAAAAAACAGGCAAACCCTCCATAAAGAAACACAAACAATATGATTACCTAGGGTTGTGAAATGGCCCGACTTTGTTTGCATACAACGGCACCGGATCACCGACTTTGTACTTGTGATCGGATGCATCAGACCTCACCGCCGGGGACGCGATGCATAATAGCAGCAAAACGACGACGACGACGTGCCACCCTCCTCTTGTCGCCATTTTCTTGAAGAAACAAGTTGAGAGCGGATGGGGTTTAAGAATACGTACAGACGGGGAAGCACAGATCTCGATCTCGTCTCATATAGTAGTAAAAATGAAATTCAAGATAACTGCCCACTCGACTACGAGAGAGTGGGCTACAAACAGTTGAGTTGAGTGACGACCGTCAACAATGTATATTTTTTTATAAAATTTTTATTTTGTCGGTTTTTTTTTTTCCTTTTTTTTTTTAACAAAACGGTAATTATATTAATAATAAAAAACTCAAAAGAGTATAATAGAACGGTTAGCCGATACAAAGCGCACACACACACACAAAAACCCAACTCCATAAAGAAAAAAAAGAACTCTATAAAGGAAACTAAATGCTAAACGCCATTAGATTTAACGAACGAAAAATAACAAAAAGAAAAAACGACACACAAATAAATAAACAACAAGATAGAGTAAAATCTCCTCTAAACATAGCAGCTGAAATCCACAACCACTTAAACATAGCAAAGAAGTCCAACCAAGCAACAAAACTAGGGTCTACCAAGTCACACTCATAGCAAAGAAGTCCAACCAAGCAACAAAACTAGGCTCCAAACATGAGAATTGCGGTCACTCTAGTGCCTAGACAAATTTTCAGCCCAGATCTGAGCTCCGAAGACCTTTATCGTCAGGGAAAGGAAGGAGAGTTGTCACGAACCCATCGGAGGACTCGAGACGAGAGATCGATGACACGACAACCTGCAACAGAGTCGCCCAGCCTGAAGGATCTGCTGCCCGACGGAACAGGAGCACACAGGACCACGGGTTGGGCTCACCTAAACCGAAGTCGATCTTTAGGAAGAACATGGTCGCACAGATTTGCGAGGCGTCCACCGTTGCCACCAACTCTGCAGGCACATTTTTAGCGGTGTGCTCCCTAGGGTCGAAGAAAAACCCCAAAAAGCAAATAATTGCCACACACTCTACATACGATTGCCAGGTGGTCGTTGTAGATGGCTATAGCCTATAAAGTAGAGGATGAAGGGCAATTGAGCTTGGGAATGAGAAGGGGTGATCTGTTTGTTGGACGGTGTCGGAAGACATCAACACTTGTTAGATGAACATGAACAACTTCAGTCCATGGAAAAGTCGCCGTTTTTTTTTTTCCTATATCGGTATCGAAGATTCGATAGCCTACTATAGTTCGGTTTGATTTCAGTTATATTTCGGGGTCACCAAAACTGTCGATTCGGTATTGGTAAACCATATCAATTTGATTACCGAATTGAACTCACCTAAAAAATTAGCATGAAACCAAAACATAACGCACTTAAGTATCTTTTTTTTTTTTTTTCAAAATGATGGAGGCATTATAACTAAAAAAAAATTTACAAACTAGAAATCAACTAAATAGCTGAATTAAAATAACTACAAAGTTGAATCTAGGAGAATCGCACCTGACAGCCTAAAGCCGAAGCTACAAACCAACACCAAGAAATAAAAACAAAAATAAAACCTAACTCCCACGTGGGAAAATCAAACATTTCAATAATGGAGAATAACAGAATACAATAATGAATTATCTATACAAAAATAAAAACCTAACTCCCATCATTTTAACTCAACATTTTTTTTTAACTCAACTTTAACCCAACTCCACTATCATCAATATAATTAAATAATATCAATCAATCATTCATACACACCACATCAACATTAATTCACTATTCATCAACTCACAATATTTTAACTAACCATCACATCAAATCATCTCTCTCTTATTTTTACAATAAATCAATTTTAATTATTTTATTTTAAATATTATTTTAATATATCCATTACCAACTAATCATACTACTTTTTTCAAAACTAACCAAACCAAACTAAAAAATCTAACATAACCAAAAAAAATTCATAAACAAACATGCTCTAGTTATCTATACATAATTGTAGGTGAAAAATCATTGGTTAAAAACACTGTTCTAAAAATCGGCCTAGGCGGCCGCCTAGGCGGCGCCTAGGCGCTAGGCGGTGCCCGGGCGCCTCCGATTTGCACAAATCGGCAGAAAAAATCGGTCAGGCGGCTAGGCGGCGCCTAGGCGGGCCTAGGCGGCCCTAGGCGCTCCTAGGCGCCCTTGGCGGGCGCGGCGGCCAGGCGGTTAGGGGGCGCCTAGGCGGGAATAGGCGGACCTAGGCGCTCCTAGGCGGGCTCGGCGGCAATTTTTCAGTTTTTTTTTTTAATTTTTTTAAATTTTTTAAATATTAATTACATTATTTTATTCTCATATTTTCTTTAAAATATATTAATTTTATTATTTGGACTTAGGTGTGTCGATTTATTATAAGTTGAGATAGTTTTATGTTGTAGGTAGTCAAACTAAATAAAAAATAAGGTATTTAATATTGATTTCTAGGCCCCGACTAGGCACCGCCTAGGCCCCGCCTAGGCGCTCTAGGCGCTAGGCGCTGGTCGAGCGCCTAGCGGGCGCCTAGCGACTTTTAGAACACTGGTTAAAAATATATTTTAATAAAAATCATTACTTTATGCATATATGGTACTCTCTCTCTCAATATATTTTATATAACGTTGCGAATTTTTAGTTTCTATTGTCCACACATTTTACTGACTTTTAATGTGTAATTTTTTGTAATACATGCATAAAATCAGAAAATATTTATATATATCTCAACTTATAGTTTTACCGCCGTTATCGTAACTAAATTAATAATGAATTATAAAATATTATATGAGATAAATAATTACAAATAGAATATATATCCACGTGTGTTTGTATAAAATAACTCATAATCAATTTATACTCAAACTCTACTCAATTTTAACTCGGACTTCACTATCTTAAATATTATCAATATAATTAAATAATATCAATCAATCATTCTTACATATCACCTCAACATTAATTTACTATTCATCAACACATATAATTTAACTATCACTTCATATCATTTATCTCCTACTTTTACATCAAATCAACTTTAATTATTTTATTTTAAATATTATTTTAATATAAAATCAAAATTCCACTAACAACTAATTATAATATTTTCCTTCAAAATTGACTTTGGTTAACCAAACAAATTCATTTTGAGCGAATATATTTGTACTTCTAAACCAAACAAACTAATAGTAATATGCATACATAAAAGTGAAATTCACTAACTACTCCAAACCAAACACATAATATTAAAAATTTAGACAAAGATCTATATAGCAATTCATATATAAGTAAAATAATTTATAATTATACTGGTATTTTTACTAATCAAATTTATATAATATTATATATCCATTATTTATTTTATGATCTCATAAGTAATATCCATACATACAATGTGAAATATTTTATTTGCATTTTTGCACATACCCATATAAGTGACTATGAAACTGGAAAGTTATTGAAGTACTAAACCATCTTTTTATTAAAAAAAAAAATATATATATATTTGCCAAATGTGTGAAAAAAAAGGGACAATCTACAGTAGTAATTTGGTATATCATTTATTACTCCTATAAAACAGCCTACATTGTTCCAAGTTAGAAAAAAATAAAAAAAAAAAAAAGAGAAAAAAAGAGCATACATCCTTAGAATGATTTAAAATTTCGAAAAGTAGTTCTCCATTGGATGGGTACATACCAGTCGGACAAATTACAGGATTTTCTTACTCGCACTTGATCGAGCGATAAATGTGGCGCACAAAGAACAAAGCAGCACGGAAACCTACAGCTCCAAGCATTAGGAAGAAAGCATAGCATATACAAGCCATGTACCCAAAGAAAAACGAGGTCTGCATGAAGCCCGACATGTCCGATCGAGCATAGTAGTAATAAAGGCAGTAGGCGTAAATAAACAAACCGGTTGATCCCCCGCAAAGAAAGGACCTGATGAAATGGAAAAAGTCCAGAATGAATCATAGTGGGATCATAGATCTCAAGAAAATATAAACAAGGCAATATCAACTATCAACGAGAGAGTTCGATTGGTGAAACATGAAATAATTTGTGACGCAGACGCAACTCTCTTGCTGTAATCAGTTTGTAATAGGAAATGGTTCATACACGGTTACATAAATATATACATTCTGTCTTTCATATTCTTTTGCTGATATACGTCGAAAATCATTTAGCTACTCGGCCATAAATCTTTAGCAAACAAATCCCAGGAGATAAATATGTTAATCATCAATAATGCAATAGCAAGATCCACATCCCATTTTCATGTGCCAGATTCAGTCCTCTTATAACAAAATAATGGATTTGGCAGATGTTTGCCAAACAAACCAACTCATAATTCAAAACGGTGATGGAAACGTTTTCTTTTACAAACAATAATTACAAGCAAACACCCCATGCCACTCAAGGCATCAACAAGATCAGTAATGCTCACCTACCCACGGTAGGCACATGTTAATATGCCCACCGCTTATGTGGCATGATGTATATTTTTGAACATATTAACATCACCAATGTTTGAATGCCACATAAGCGGTGGGCATATTAACATGTGCCCACCGTGGGTAGGGGAACATTATCCTCAACAAGATAGTTTAGTGCTGGGAGTGACCAAATTATGTAGTCTTTGACGCGTCAGAAAAACAAAAGCTCAGAGATAAAGGTAACATAATAAGTGACTGACAGTAGCATGGCTTTTACTTACATGCGGAAATAAAGAAATAACCAATTCCAGAAGCAAAAAGCATCATTGTCCAAAAAAAAAAAAAGGAGGAAAAACATCACAATAAAAGCAAATTCAACATAAATATGATCATGAAGGCACAAAAGTGGCAGCACAATGCTTAAAGTCAGACATACCTCCACCACCATTCATGATCTTCAGCAGCAAGTTGGAAATATGTCAGAGCCACAGTGATGAATGCAGTGACAATCAAGAGAATAATGAAGACTATGAACAAAATACTGTAAATGGTGTAAATCCTGTGACCCCAGACACTGGCAAAGATATAGTAAAGCTCAATATAAATTGCACTGAATGGCAAAAATCCAGCCATGGCCATCTGAGGCAGTGTCCCACGATACCAAGGCAGTGGTGGGATCTCTCTCGGATATTTTGTGGTGCGACAAGGAGCTTGAAACTCGGCCTTACTATTTTTCCCTGCTATTCCTCCCAATACTAATAGAGGTGATGTCACAAGAGCCCATATCAAGAAAATCACCACAATAGTACCAAAGGGAAGAGCAGCAGTAGCATGGTAAGCAATGGCGACGGTGTTAAGGAAGCAAAATGTGAGAAAGAGTGGCCCACAGAACAAGCCTCCAGTCAATAATAAATTCCGGACCTGTTGTGAACCGAAAAAGATGTCATTTCACTAGAAGATAAGCAACTAAGCAATAAACAAATCACTGCATGTGAAGTCAAAACAAGGTGTTAATGGAAATTCATTGAGTAGCTGCCAGCATGGTAATTCCAAATGGTACTAAAGAAACTGTAACTGATCAAAATTTATTACCCAATTGGTTCCCTCTAACTGGCAATAAAAAGAGGCTGCTGTATAGCCTGCAATGCCAGATGTAAGCGCATAAATCACGACCAGTGCCGTAAAAAGAGCTCCTCGGTTGTAGGGATAAAATACACCAACAAGAGCGAGTAAGAATATAAAAGTTGCCCTGGAAAAGATAACATCGTTCACTTATACATATAAAACCAATATTACAAATATGCAATATCGATGACAAAACTTGTCGACAATCTTGAGAAGAAAAATTTAACTTGTCCAGACATACTTACAGGGTAAAGAGTTGCGTTCCACTACCAAGGGCAGCTGCAAATACAGACTTGTATTTTGGGAACCTGAAAACATCACCATGAATGTACTTCCACCCAGTTTCTTCTTGGTCATCTGCTGTCTCCTCATCATGGGCATACCTCCACCAAGACAAAAAAATTATCAATAACAACATTTTTTTGTATCTCCTATAATACTATATAACTGAGGAAATCCTTACTTGACAAAATCATTTTTAAGCACTCTCATCAAAATCGTAGCAAGAAAACCAGTAAGAAGAAGAACAGTAACACATGAATTGATTATTGAAAACCAATGGATCTCTAAGTGCCGAGGAAGTGAAGACGAATGTGAGTACTTATCCATCCTCTTTTCAAAAGGTACACTAGTTTCCTTCCATTTAGCTGAGTACATAAAGTCCACGTCAACTTCCTTGTCATCAGTAAGGTCCACAAGGGCACTAGGATCTGTACGTGCATTGATCTCAATCACCCGATCCTTGTTATAAAATATTTCGAAATGGAGATGCTGAAATAGATAATATTTGTACTCGCTAGGATCTGCTTTTCCTTCCTTGTCAACCTTTCCCAGGAAACCCCATATCGGCAAGTCATCATAATACATTTGAAAATAATAGTCCTTTGCAACAGCTCTTCGAAACTCAGCAACTTCTTTCTGTGATAACTTCTTTTTACAGATGACTTCAGATTCTTTGTCAACTAAAAAGTCGAGCTTGTACGGAGCACTAACCAAACGATCACCATTTAGCACTTCACCAAGAGCTTCACTTTTGTCCTTCACAGTACCTGACAGGAAGAAATGTCAATATTTATAAAAGAATATAATTGTACAGATAGTAAGCAGGCAAGGGAAGATGAAATACCTGGAGAACAAAAGGGCAGATCAAAGTATCGGTATGTTTCACTGGAATGGAGAAAAGTTACACAATTAAATAAATTTATGGCACTTCTTAAAACGAGAGAGAAGACAACCAAATATAAAAAAAAAAAAAAGGAAATAGAGATAATATTTCAAAGATAATCACAATGTTCGCTCTGATTGTTTCTCTGATTCCTTCAAATATATATATAGGCCACGGATCAGAAAGGAACTAATTCTTAATATATGAACTAATGACCCTGCTAAAATACATTATATGTACTGATGTAATATATGTAGTGCTAAAATACATTACACATAAAGCTATTATATACGTAATGACCACATTGCTAAATATAATATTGTATCATGCTAAAGTAGCAGTATTCAGCAGGATTCCCTATGTTAAGAATGGTTCCTGCTATATACTAACTCTGTATATCATTAGCACCACAGGACTCAGAGCATGAATCATCCACACTAATAACTTGTTATCAAGCACAAAAATTTCTTCCTGGGTTCGACCACACAAGTTTCGAATCACCCCAGTCATCTCCAAAAAACGCAACCTCCACATTCTTTATTTAAAAAATGTACAAGCTGTGTACATCTAAGCGTAATTGCACCACACATGAATACAATTCTACCGCTGTTTAACATTTCCAGCAGAAAATCACGTTTTCACAGCTACCAACTCCTACAGACGAAAATTAGAGCCAAAACACTGCATCTCCCTGGAAAACATTCATCGTGAAACAGTAATGAGGAGCCAATCAAGCTTCGAAACCTAATCAACGCAATCAAGCACAAGCAAACACATATTCTTCACAACACAACCTTGCGATCAAAATCCACGACCAATGAAGATCGCCCAAGCATAATATCAACGCAGCATTTCGGGTGCCAAAAATACACAAACGCACAAACAAAATAGAGGCATGTTTACCTAGGGTTGTGAAACGGGCCAACCTTGTTCGCATAAAGCGGAACCGGATCGCCAACCTTGAACTTGTGATCCGACCCGTCCGATCTCACACTAACCGCGGCGCACACAAGCAGCAAAACGACGACTCGCCACCCCCCTCCTGGCGCCATATTTTCTGCGCTCGTCAACTGAGTGAATGGGTTTAAACAGTTCAGTGTAACTGGGTTATGCGTTGAAAATTGAGAGGGGAGAGAGAGAGAGGGCGGAGCTGAGAGACGGATCTGGATCTGATAAAAGTAGATGAATCCTGAAGGAAGGATGTAGAGTGTGTCCACGCGCAGTCAGGAGAGCGTGGGATCCAAATGGTTGACATAGAATTGTGACTGCACGACGGGAACGAGCGGACAAGTAGTACGTACCCTCTATAGAGCTGTTGGCTAATCGCACAAATGGAAAAATTTGTAAACGCCCTGTTAATAGGTTCGATAGCTTTGATTAATTTGGATGCGGGTGACCAAATTACATTGTTTTTTATTTTTGATTAATTTGGATGCGGGTGACCAAATTACATTGTTTTTTATTTTACTAATTTTATGTTGTATGTTAAGTAATTATTACATAGTAATGCACATGTTAATATGTCTATCGTTTATGTGACATACACACAATATTAATATGCCAAAAAAAAATACATTATTAATGTGTGCATGCCACATACACAGTGAACATATATGCCCACCACGTAAGTAAGGGAACATTACTAATTATTGCATTTCTGCCCATTTGGATCATGCGTGATATATGCTTTTGGTTTTATTTATTCATTAATTTCTAAAATCATAATGGTGTGGATATAAAGTTAGTGAAATTGTATGGTCCCGTTACGGAATCATTCTGTAGAGTTTTGTAACCGTTAGATTAACTATACTCGTCGATTACATGATGATCTAACGGTTACAAATGTCGACAAACTATAGAATTTCCCATAATGTTTTTTTTTTTTTTTTTTGCGATTACAAATAACATTAACGAAACGGAGGTTTAAGCTCCGACCGATACAAAAAGAGGTGATAGAAAATACAGGAGACAATCCTTCCACAAAAAAGGTCCCGTCGTTGACAAAGCCCGCTTAGTTAACTGGTGGGCAACAATATCATGATCCCGCTCTATATGACAACAATACACCCAATTGAGAGAATTTCCCATAATGTTAATCACACTCAATGGTTGGACAAGTTTCACGCACCCCCTTATAAATTAATTATCAATAAAAGAAAAAAAAACTTATTTACATGGCTCACATGAAAAACGTGCATCTCATTTTAATGTGTGCGTATTTACAATAAAAAATAAACATCATGTAACATTTTGACAAGATGGTATCATGCCCAATAAAAAATTGTATGGAGCCATCAGATGGTAATCTTATGGAGCCATCCATGACTTAGTGTATTGACACTTGTCCAAAGTGTATTTATTGTAGGACACCTGTCAAAACACTAATTGTGAATAACAGTAGATGACTCTATAAGCCGAGCCATCCGATTGCTCCATAGTAAAACTGCATGCCCAATATAACAAACAAGTCATTTTGGCTTGTGGCAATTGTCATGTTTTAAAGATTTTGTGTGATGTGGCAGAATAGTGGTCGTGCCAGATTGCTTTAGTGTTTTTTTTTTCCCACAACGATAGAGATACTATATTAATAAAAACTGCACAATGTGCGAAGAGAAGCGGCCAAAGACTGAATAGTACAACCGAAGACTGGAAAAGCTGGGAGGCAAATCCAAAGATCGCCTAGAGTCTAACCTAGCAACGCTAGAATAACAAAGCTCGCAAACTACACCGACCAACAACACCTACAAAAACTAAAAACGAACAAGGCTCCCAACAGGAGAATACCTGAATGTCGGCTCCCAACAGGAGAATACCTGAGTGTCGGCTCCCAACAAGAGAATAAATTTGACACTCAGGCGCACAGAGGCCAAATGGCCCAAACCAAAAAAACAAGACCCAAGAACAACGCTAACACGAAACCAAACGAAACAGAAACAAAAAACTATATAAATACTAAATAGAATATGGCCTTCCCCAGCCAACACACGAGCCCAAAACCAATAAAAAAACAGTCGGTCCAAGAAGATCCCAAGCCCGAGGAACTACTACCGAAACTGCGAGACCGCCTATACAGCAACCGAACCCGAACTCCAAAACCATCTCAAATCAACCCACCACCAACCGAGAGAACAAGACCCTCCCCCAACACCAACGCAACCCAACTTCTCCTAACACCACTAGCATAAATCGGGTGCACCGGGCCCCACCTGTCCCCAACACCAGAAGACCGGAAGGGGGGAGAGCAGCCCGGCCCTACAACCCCAGCAAACTCGACACCGGGTGTCTCGTCCATCAGGGTCCCATCCCGTCCACAAACCCTCGCGCCACCCAACCTCACCACCGACCGCCGGAAACAAGACCCCATTGCTGCCACCAGAAGCACCCACAACAGGGGCGACCAAAGGGTCTCTATCGCAGACAATAGGTAAATCGAGGGACAATACCGCTCCAATCGAAGATCCGCCAGCGAGGAAGAGCCTTCGGACTTAGATCGAGGGCCCATCACCCCAATCGGAATCTCGCTGACGACCGAGGACGGCGAGTCCATCTCCAACAGTTGCAGCAAAGCGGGAAGGTGCGACATCAGGGACGGAGCGGGCGGTCGACGGCGACTACAGGCTTAAGCCTCGCCGCGATTAGCTCGATTTTGAGGTCTGCAAGGGTTTCGAAAATTTGCCCAAAGAGAAGGGTCTGCAAGGGTTTCGACAAGAAAATATCATGTAGATTGCTTTAGTGTGACTCAGCCAAAAATTGTCTGCTCGTCATGAAGTCTGAGGAGTTGGAATTGATAGCTGGGTCAAAGCTAACGCCACACCCCCAATGTGAGCCGATTTTGGATAGCAACTCGAGGGTAATGCCCGACGACTTTTTTTTTTCTTCTTCAAACAACACCCGAGGAGGGTGAGGATTAAGGCCAGACCCCCAATCTGTATATAAAATAAGGCCTTAAATAGGCTGAAAGGTCACAAGGTTACAAGTCCAATGTCTGACATCATGTCAAACGAAAAACAAAAAATAAAAGCAAAATATGTACAATGCAAAGCCGACAACTGCAGCAAGAATATAAAAATAATAGATCCTGGTCTTGGTATAGTCCCGGCGAGAAGAAATCTGTAAACACAGTGTGACAAATGCGCCAAAAGATAGGACCAACTACACAAATTTGAATGAATGCCTGACGACTTATTGTAGTAACAATGTTGCGCGACAACTTTGATAGTCAACAAAAAAAAACATGTTTTGCCGAGCCCAATCGAGATGGGACCCGATGGTGGGGTTGTGAAAGACTAAATTGTTTGTGAAAATATGTAAACTCCGAGTTGATAGAGTGCATGCACGCAAACCAACTATTTGCATCCAGTCTGGACCTAACGATTATAACGAGACACTACTTGACTAGAGGTGGTCAAATCAACTTTAATTAATTTATTTTAAATATGATTTTAATATATATTCAAAATTTGTTAAAAACTAATCATATCATTTTTTTTTAAATTAACCAGTCAAAACAAAAAGAAAAATCCAAACAAATTCAAAATATATTATATCCAAGCATCCCCTTAGATTCTCTGTACCAACTATAAATCGATTTTTTCTCTCTCTCAGATTATTCAGTCCGTGCTCTTTTTTTGCAGTCTGCCAAAACACACCATAAGCCACAGTACACTCGTTAACACAAAACTCTAACTGCAAACACTGCAGTGTATATATACACATAACTACATATTGTTAATGTAAATTGCTAAGAAATGTTTATTATGCATGACAAGAAAGGAAGAACAGAAAAAGAAAAGAAAACAACAAAAGCAACTCCAGATCAGCATTTCATATGTGGCGTTAGCCGACAAACAAAATGCACACAATATCTATATTTATATCTCGCGTGAAACTACCATTCAATCCAAATCGGGACAATCGAGAGCCACTTTGATCTTTTGGATCGTCGAGCTTATTAGAGCGTGGACAGTTGCAACCGACTCCATATTCACCTGCTGCTTTTGAATTGAGTCGCAGCACGCCAGTACTTGAAAAGCGACAGTAAGGAGCGAGCCACTTTTTTTTAAGCCTCCCTTTTTCGCTCGGCCATCATCAGAGATTACGTAGCCCGATGGGAGGATTTGTACTTTCACGGTGTCCTGATCACCGTTAATAACTGAAGTAACTGTCGGTAAATCTATAGGCGCGTAGACTATAATTGCTCCTAGGCAGTCCATGCTAGTCTCTTGTAGTAATAGCATGTTGTTCTCTTTCGGCACAAAAGGCTGTTATTCCACAATCGCGCGCCATTCGAATAAGGAATAAATGGTTAGTAAATATATTTTATTAAAAACGATATTGTCGTGTTATATTCTTCGTCTGTATGTTACTTCATGTATAATTACAACACAGAAAACAAGTACAGAAAGTAACCTGAATAATGGAGATACAATTTCCAAGATCTACCCCAGTCGAGACGCGTGCAATCGTGTTTATTGGATTTCCACTCGATAACACATCCCACTGCATTACGAAAAACGGTACGTGGATTTAGTCTTATGACATGAAAAAAGGAAAAAAAACAACATTTTGAATAACTAACTTGGGCTCTTTTCTTCTCATCTCTAAAGAAGCTGAACAGATCCTTGTTCGAGAAAGGAAGCCAGAGAGAGGTAGCCGTAGTAACTATCAAACCACTCGGTTGGCCCAGTTCACTGCTTTTCCGAACCGAGACACGGATGCCACAGTTATTCAATTCCGACAAGTGGGGAAAGTCGAGATTGTCCGACATGCTCAGAGCTTCACAGAAGTTCTTCACCATCCGATGAGAGAGAGCCATTAGATTTTTTCGGCCTTTAGATGAATCAATGACTGAGAATGAACAAAATGAAGAATCATTTTTGTTAAGATTTGACAGACAATAATTCAAGCTAAAAATGACATAACATATTATTGATAATATAGCAATCAATACCTCCATCAACTTCATGTTTCGGTGCAGTAACTAAACCCGTGCGGGAGAAGGAAAATCTCTCGCAACTTCTTTGAAGTGTAACTATCCACCTTTTGGCTCCATAAGCTTGACCGCCGCTGACCAAGTCTCTGTAAAGACGATGATTCAGTGACTTGTCGTCCACTTGAACATGCTCAATCCATGTGATCTATTAAGAATGTATAGTAGTAGCATTGAATAATCATTTAAAATCATTTGAAATAGGTTTTCATTTTATTTTTTCTCTTTGCTTCTTTTTATTATGTAATAATAATTAACTCACATTCGATTTTCCATTCGACAAATCTTGTACGATGCAGCCCGAGGGAAACTTCCAAGAGCAAGTCGGAGCCGCATCTTGTAAGTACTTGAAAAAATCGTACGACACATCCACCAACACCCAAGTGCTCGCGTCCAGCTGGCGACAGCACCGGATAAAGAAAAACTCTCGGGCTGCCACGAGAGGCGATAGAATGTGCATCTTCTCATACATCTGCAATAATGTAAAACCGACTAGTAACTCAAAACTAACGAAAAATTATTCTATAATTAAATATGTCGACTTAAAATTAGAATCTCCCTACCAAATGCAATGAACCACTAGAACCTCCCGTGTCAAGAACTTCGATCGTCTTAGCTTTCGTGACGATAGTCGGAAACATTTCCTCCCATCCACTCTGCAACATAAACAAAGTCTTGTGTGAAACCGTCTGACATAAAGTAAAACTCGAATTTAATTTTTGTTAAATTCGGTTTACCGGATCAAGCAGTATCTGCGCCAACTGTCTAGCTGACATGGCCACCTCACCGGAATCTTTAGATGATTCCAACCGAGCACTTGGAGACTTGAAATAATGATTGAGAGGCTTTGGGAAAAGCTTGTCGTAACTGTCACGGTGGAGCATAAATCTGCCATCATTTGGGGAATTCACCCAAACCGGATCCTTCACGAGTAAAAGCTCGATAAGTTCATCCGCGGCTTGGCTCGCTGTCTCGATAATGACCGATTTGTCTGTTTCGAGAAAAAAATTTCGCGGAACATATGGGACGTGCTCGGTTCTTGGCGGATGCATGGATGGTGATTTTTCCATGTAATTGGACAGAAGCTCAGCTGCCTTTTTGTGCTGAAAATCGACCATTTTTTTTCAAGTGTCATCGACATTATTACATGTAGCGTGTCAGAGGACGAAATATCTAACTTTTACACATAAAAATTATGAATAGTACACAATCACCATTTAGAAAATTAAACCATGCTTCAGAAAAGGGAAAAAAAAAAAGTAACTCTGCATGAATTGATGATTCAAATAATTTTTCTTTCGTAGAAACCAGAGATGAAGATGACTTATATTATATATTGTCAAAAGTTTTACCTGCTCTCTCAACTGTGCATTTTCCATCTTCAGCATCTGTAAATCGAGTTGTCTCTCTTCGCCTTGAAGGCCCGGCCCGTGACAAGCAGGACAAACAATATTTCGTAGTGCCTCGCTCATTTCACGGTTCTCACCGCGAATCCTTTCATTTTCGGCTCGGAGGGCACTGTTATTCACTTTCTCATTCTGAGCCTAAAAATACATTTTTCGGTCACATGCCAGAATATATCGAGTACGAAAGGCGATGAGGTTTTTACTATACATAGAATGCATATGAATACATACTTTTTTTTGAGTCCTCTTGTTTTGAAACCAGAACTTAATCTGCCTTATATCAAGTCCTATCTCCCTACTCAATTCTTGCCTCTGAGTCTCATCAGGATGTGGGCATTCTTTAAAAAATCTATATAATCATGAACAAAGAAAAGAAAAGAGTTAAACCAAAAGTAATTTAAATGGCTTGTTAGATACATGAAGCATGAGGGATGAAGATTAGCCATGCAAACCGATCGATAAAACACAAGATTAATATTAAATGAAACATATATAAGTTAAAAAAAAAATGAAAAACCAGCTTACGCCTCAAGCTGTTGTATTTGTTCTGCCGAATGTCGATGATATTGCCTTCTAACCCTCCTTGATTCAGAAGTTCCTTCATCACCCGAGCCCATGCCTGCATTCTCTAAATCCATGTCTTGGGAAAAAGATTTTTTCTGATGTATTGATTGTGTGAAGAAAAATCCTGAATAAAATAAAAACAAAAAATCAGTAGCTACAATAATTGCGTTGGAGCGCGCACATCTAACGACACAAAACAAATATGACGACATATATACTTTGTATCGAGTAAGAGTGCTCGTGACACAAAAGATACAATGTATGGATGTACTAAATAACAAATGAAATATGTCATGAATTCATGACTCGCCTGAACTGAAAACAATGAACAAGTACTATCTTTGCATGCCTCTGTTTATGTACACCTCTATATAGATGTCATCTTTAACATGAGATGTTATATCGAAGATATTCTACTTGCTTTAGAAAGAAAGTGACCGCCAGATTCCGAGCACAAACTTTAGAATGAAATAATTAATGATGGATGCAGAGGCAGATGACAAATAAAACAAAAGATCTACTGTTAGACCGCCTTATCGTTTAGGCCAAAGTAAGAAATGCTATACTTTTGAAAAATATCGTTCTTGATAAAAAAAGAATAGAAATACTTGAACCATTTTTATCGAAAAAATATGTTACGCCGTTAAAGAATTTCTCGCGCTTTCGTTTCAAAAACTATAATTGATTAGTTTTCCAAATAACGGCAACATCTCCTAACCAATTATAGCCGCCTTTTAGGCCGACTGCCAAATTGTTTGCGCTAACATAGTAGTAACCGAACTGTCGGTATCTTGCCAAAGATGGAAATAAAATCAAGTCATCAAAAAAAATTGCATAAAATCTACTCATTCATTTACCCCTTTCTATCTCCACAGCATTTTGGATTCTGTTGAGGAAAATGAATAAAACTCAGTTAGAAATTATTAATTCATTATTTTCCTTTACCTTCCATTAGAGCTGATAAGGTTAGTTCATGAAAAATTATCCATGATCTGGATGTGGCCATTTATTTCGCAATCTGCGGTTCGCTGATGATGATACTATATTGATTATAGCAGATAACGAATCCGAAACAAAAGCATTATGCATTAAAGCTAAAAGCTCTCATCTGAAGAAATGAAAGCATGAAATTTCTCATATCAATATTAGAACATATAAGATGGTGTTGATATGCTCATTAAGAACAACATGTGTGTATTTGTGTATGTAAATTAAATCATAAATTTTATCAATGTAAATTGTCAATCTCATTTGCAGTACATAAGGATCCTCAACTAGATATTAACAGTTTTCATGTATGCAAGACTGAATACATCAGACCGTTTTCCTAAAGATCCTCTCCACAACTGAACTCGATTCAACTAGTAAAATGCACGTGGCGGGGAATGTTTTGGCCGATTTAAGTTTAGTAAATTAAATAATTAATTTATTAAGCCTACCAATGCAAGAACGGAAAAAAATATAGAACAAATGAGCTCGTAATGTATTTAAAAAATAACATAAAGATGTCCTATATGAAATAACATATTATAGCTCCACAAAAATATATGAAAAATAAAAAATGAGTCCCTAATGAAAAAAAAAAGGAACACTATATGACAAAATAAGGATCTAATGTATATTATTGATGCAATACATGAATAGTATTGTCTATTTTATTCAAACACTTATAAATATTCGGGTCAAGCATATAGTCAAAATTCATGAGAGTATGATCTTCATAAGGTATTTCTACTAACAGTTTATGAATATTTTTGTGAACTAACCAACCGTATTACTAAAATTGCTGGTATTATTATTAATAAAACGCGACATTACTTTCTCTCCTTATAGAAAAACTGGTATGGGGCGTGGGAATGGATTTTATTTCCAACGAAAATTTGACTTTCTAAATCCTTGGTTACATATATTTCTTCTGAGGCGCTAAACTATTTTTTTAAATCATTACATATTACATAAAAGTACGTATTCTAAAGTAATTGTACATATGTTCGAGTATAATACACTGATGAGATTGTAAATATTCCTATAAAAAATTGACAACTTCATTCAAACATTAAAAAATATTTTGATCAATCTCCGACATTCCCTTTTCAATGTTGTTTATTTAGAAGATAGACGGACTACATAATCTATGTGCTTGCAAATCATTGACCAATTGCAATGATTTTAGAGTTGTTTATCATAATATCTTTCACATTCGTCTTAGTTACAATATTTATGTGTCTAATAACTTCTTTAATTCTTTTATTGTTCAACTTTTTGCATCATACATAAAGCTTAAAAAATTCAAGATAAAAATCTTTTCTTGTTTCTTCAACAGTGATAAAACTAAACAAAATAAAACAACGTCATGGGCTATTATTACTTGTGGAATGATAACCGACAACTCCAAGGCCCTTGAGCTTCTACCCAGAGTTCTGCCTCCTTAATCGTTCTCTGAATTCGTGCTCGATGCTTTGCTATTTGCCCTTGGGCCTTTGAGCTCGCATGTTCCCCCTAACAATGTCGTGAACCTCTGGTAAGGTCGGCATTGTTAAGCTGTGGACCCCTGAGGTTCAGAGTCCAGTCTCTTGTCATTATTGGCAGGGATCGACTTTATTTTACTTTCCCTTTATGGTATGTTTGGTAAGCCAAATAAGCTAGCTTATAGTTTATTTGGTTAGCTTATAAGTTCCCTGTATTAAAATAAGTCTCGTTTGGTATGACGAGCTTTTTTAAAAAGCTCTAGCTTATCCCATAAGCTACTTTAGGCAGCTTTTCAAATAAGCTAGTAGAATTTTTATATTTCAGCTAGCTTATCAGCTAATTTACCAAACACTTTTATCATATAAGTTAGCTTTTCAGCTATAAGTCATAAGTTATAAGCTATAATAAGCTCAAAAACTACATAAGCTATAAGTTAGTTTATCAGCTATTTTTATCAAACATAACCTTAATGTAATATTCGTTTCTTTAACATGGACATAATGATCCCTCGATGTTTCCAAAAAATATTTATAAGCTACATGTGAATGGGAGCTTATTCTTGGCTTTATTTGGTCATTGCCGAGCTTATAAGTGGTCCCCCGAAAATGCAATTTAAAAGACAAAATTCGTCAAAAGAAACATGTAATGAAAAACCATGGTTGTTGGGAACCGGCCAATGGACTGGTTCGATTTGTTAAAATAACCCGGTTGCAAAATCGATCAATGACGTGTTGAAACGGCCAGAACCAGTCAAAAACCATCTAATTGGACATGCAGTTCTTTATGTAAAGCAAATGAAATTTTAGTAGATTTATATAGCTATTTATTTACTACTTCAGCCGATGTAGGATAAGCAATGTCCTTGAGATGAAAATGTCTTACCTATAATTGTTGAAATGCGTGTGGATGAGAATAACTGAATGCACGATAATTATTAAGTCAAAAGGTTTGAATATTTGTCATTCCATAATAAACTGAATACATAAATTGATTGTTACTTTAGAATAATTGAATATATAAATTGATAAACATTTTTTAATATTTATAACAACATCTGGTGGCACCTTCACACATTTACATCCATGATAAATACATACTAGTACGTACCCCGTGCGATGCACGGGATAAAAATATTTAATGAGTTATTTCACATGCTTTGTCCGTTTAAGTATATAAAGCAATAGGATTATCATATATTTTTCATCTCTTTTAATCAGATTTAAGTATAATAAACAATAAGGTTATATTATATTTTGCACCTCTTTTAATCAACGTTATTTTTTAGTTAAAATATTAAAATAATTAATATTTTATTTCACTAACACATTTATCCTAATTTAAATTTGATTTTAATATATATATTTATTCCTTGACATAATAGAGAATAACAATTTTATTTATTCTTGTTCACCATATAATACATAATTATTATTTACTTATTCTTGTTCACCATATAATACATAATTATTATTTTATTATACACTTTATGTCATATAATGTTATTATTATTTATAAAGTTATAAAAGTTGTACGTCTTCTTTATATTTTTATTTTATGTAATGAAAAATATTTAATGCACGTTTGCATTATTTATTTATGTAATCAATTTAAAATATGTAAATAAATTTAATATTAAATAGTGTATAAATATTTTACAAAATATACCCATGTTTTTTTAGAATTTAATTTTATATACTAATTAATCAACTTTGATTTAGAAAATCCTAAAAACTCAATCTCCTATATGATCAAGATTTTTCTAGTTCGCATTATAAAGATTTATGGTTTATTTAGCATACTCAACAATAAAAATATATTTTACAATAATTTAATTATAGAAATAAATTAAAATAAAAAAATGAAAAAATATAGTCATGGGCGCTAATAATATACAAATAAATGCTAAATAATAGTTAATATGTTTCAATTTAATTTTTTACTATTAGTAAAACTATTTATTGTATATGGTCATTATCTCTTAAATGGTAAATTATATTAATTTGAAGAACGATTTATTTTTTATATTTAACAAAATAAAGCTTAGGAAACAAATATATTGACAAACATTATACCACCAATTTTATTTTGTTTGATTACTTGGAAAAAAAAAATTCTACCTAATTTCTTACGATTTGTCATAAATATTTTTGGATAAAAAGTGAATATTTGTGAAAAAAAAAACAAATATTATGGTTAGAACTTAAAATATGGTGTAATATTATCTTGAACAAAATATTATCAACATGGATCACATAAATCAATCTTGTAATTCATTATAATGAATATCAATGAAAGTATTACAAATATTAATAAAATAATATTTGTCTTGACCAAAATATATATCAACATGAATCACGAAAATAAATCTTGTAATTTATTATAATAAATATAAATAAAAATATTGCAGATATTAATAATTTATTTAAGTAATTATTTGATCTTATTTGATAACGTTAAATAGAAACAATAAATGCATATATAAAAAATTTTTCAAAAATAACATGCATTAAATGTTTCCTAAATTTTTGCTACTATTTTTAGTAAATGTTAATTCTTTTTATATATATATAGATGTGTTTGTATATTTTTATTTATATTAAAAATATTATATAAAAAAATGTTATGGATATATAAATAAAAAAATATATTAAAAATTTTATATTATTAATATAAATAGAAAAAAAAATACATATTTAATTATAATGAATATTTGCCAATTAGTTATTAGTTAGTTTAAGTATTTGAAAATTTTAAATTGTCTAAATATTTAGTTAACGAAGTTTAGTATATAACTTTTATTATATAAAATATTATATATTTAAAAATGTTAACAAATTAAATAATAGTTCAACCATTGGTCAGACATATGAAATTGAACCTTGACGTGTTCAATAACCAATTGGATTTTAAGAAACTTGATGAAAACATAAAATAAATAAAAAAAAAACAAACATATGATGTTACACGAGATAAGAAAGAGCAATAATAGAAAATTCCAGTCAGTCAGCTATAGGTTTCTCTCGGGGCAACGACTTGCTACGCGCCGCCGTTCGTCAGCCTCTCTTCGCCGGCCTCTCTTTCTCTCTCTATATCTCGCGGACTCTCATAGCTTAGCTATTGCAATTGAGCAAGCACAGGGTACAGTGATGAGCGTGTGAGGAGACAATGGGCGTTACATGCGGCGGCAGCCTCCGGGACACATGGCCCCGTGCCTCCGACCGTTGCTCCCGCTTTGTCCCCTGCCTTTCTGATCCGGGTAATTTTTTCAATTTATAGGTTTGAGCGTTTGGAGATTTCGATTTTGGCTTTTTTGTTTGGTATTTATTCGTTTATTTTGCGTTTACATCTGCTTTAGCTCGAAGATCTGCTTTGTCACTGAGAGCCACGTTGGTGGTGCTGCATCTTGTTTTCGCCGGGGTCTTACTTTTGTTTGACAATGATTTGATTGAGAAGACCAAACAGGAGCCATGGTAATGTTTGTGTTTTCTGATTGTTAACTTTTATGCTTCAGTAGTTGAAAGCTGGCAATTTTGTGGGTCAATGTTGATAAAGTATGCAGTCTCTTTGTCAGTTCATGTGTGTGATAGATATATAGTAGTTGCTTACGGTTATGGTTGGGTATAAGCATAAATGGAAATTATGGAACATAAAAATAGAAAATATTGAGAGCAAAATATTTTGTTCTTGCACAGAGTTTAAACCTTCACCAACTTATAGTACTAACCCGTATAAAATGGCTAACTTTCTAGTCCATTTTGCTGAAACTAACATGAAATTCTTAAAGGAGCTCAACTCCCAAAAGCACTTTATTTTACCCACAGTTGTGCCGAAGGGTGGTCTTAAAATCTTAAGCACCTTTAATTATGATGGATTTGGAAAATGATGGTCCTTGTGGCTTCCTTGATTTGGTCAACCTAACCTACCTAGATGCTATAACTCCAAGATGAGGTCTTCAACCATGTGGTGCATTTGTTTTTGAAGGTCATATTCTTGTCATTCCTGCTTAGAAAACTCAGTGGCACTCTGCAATGATTTTACTGATGATCTTTGCAAAAGGATATGTTAAATTGCTAACTTCGGATTTATTTCTCAGTTTGTAATAAAAGTTAAGAAATTTGGATCCTTGTGGTGTGAGTTAATTACTGCCAGAAACTGGGACATGAATGTTAGGAGTGAAACTGGGTTATAGGTATTTGCTTGCAACTTCATTCACTTGTTATGTTGTAATCATATTTGTTTACTTCATTGTCGTCATGATAGTTTTAAATCCTATGTATTCCTTACCAACACAGGTACGCTGCCGCATACGTGTTCTTGTTCGTTGGTACACTGATTCAATATTTTATTACCTCTGGAACATCTCCTGGGTAATTATATTTACCAACTTTCTCTTATTGCTAAATAGTTTTATTCGTAACTACTGGTGCGGAGTAGATAATATGTTTCATTTCTCTCCAGTATGCTTACATTTTCCTCCTCTTGAAAAATTAGCTTTGTACTCGATGAACAGAAGGATGTTGACGATCGAGATGCTTCAGCTAGAAGATCATTATTGGCCTCAAAGTAAGCAGGTTCATTTTGAAATTTAATACAACAACGAGTAGCTTCTGCATTGAAGATCTGACCAAATATAGAATTCACTAACTGCAATATCTTTGGGTATGCCTTGTTATAATGTTCAAGCAAAGACAATCAGCGTCAAGCAAAAGTAGCAGTGTTGTAATCACTGTGGATGGGAGGAACTCTCACAGAGGGAATGCAACTGCTTGGACAAAGCTAGTAATGGATTTATACCCTCCAGGGACATCCACTAGGTAAGTGTATATCACGTATATTTTGCAGTACCAAAGTTAGGGGAAATAATCTTGACTTTGTTGATGAATTTACTGAAGCTCCACTTGGTTGAGATTCAGAGGACTATTTTGATACTCTTATGGCAGTTTTCTGCTCGATTAATAACTTAAGCTTGTCAATGTCACCTGTGTGACTTCATGTCTCGAGTTAGAAAAGTAGCTAAATGTGATTTTTTAACCACACCTTTTTCAGAATTTCAGAACAATATCTGGTGCTTGTTCCTTTTTTATAGGTCCTAGAGCTGGTCGAAGGAGTAGTCTATTATTATTCAGAAAGAGATGTGACACAATATTCGTAATTGAAAGATATATTTCATGGAGATTATCTCTTTTCCAACCAAAACTGATTTTTAGTGAGTACTGACTTAGTTGTAATGCCTCATTAAACATCTGATATGTAGGGAAGTGATATAATGAGGCAAACTTTCAGGTTGTGGAGAGGATAGTTCTGTAGGCTCTGTCTGGATTGCATTAGAAACGATAACATGTAAATAAAGCTGTTGTAGACAGTGTTTACTCCTCTTGAACAACCTTAGCTTCATGTGCATATTGCCATAGTGAGAACAACACAATACACAATTTTTTTATGGAAAGTGGCGATCTGTAGCTGACTGAATCTCTCTCCTTTATTGATTGTTTCCAGAAATTTGACATGCCCTTACTGCAATGTCCTTCAGGTAGAATCTTTAAGCTTCCTTCTCGCATTGTTTTGTTTATGTGATGATTAAGCATTGCAAGACCTTCTGGACAGCTGAATTTATATATACTACATGCCTTTGTTTATTTCTTTATTCATTATAGTTTCGTATCTGTTTCCAACTTTTTATCCGTATAAAACTTTCTTTATAATTTCAAGTGTGCATGATAAGTATTGTATACTTTTTAGTTTACATTGATCAATTGATCGTACCTTCTTATATGCTAAGCTGTAGAAAACTCACTGCTCTATTTTGCTGCCCGATCATTGTAGATATTTTCACGTGTGGGAATAAATTCCTGGGAAGTGAAAAGAAAAATAATGTAGCTAGTGATGCAATGCTTAACTTTCAAAATTTGTCCAACTTTGAAAGTATCCTTTTGCTGCGATGGACTATAAGGCTGAGTTTAATGAAAAATATGTGTTCCCCTTGTTTTTGTTTTTGTTGATTACTTTAGTGGTGATTTTGTTGTAATGCTTTGAGTTGCAGAATATGATTCCTGTTTTTAAGTAAATGATGGTTTGATTTTTCATTTCGTTCATGATCTAAATTTTCATGGTCTGTGATCTTAGTGTGTGTTTGCATTTGTTTACTAGCCTCCTCGTGCAAAACACTGTCATGACTGCGATAAGTGTGTTCTTCAATTTGACCATCATTGTGTTTGGCTTGGAACTTGCATAGGACAGGGCAACCATTGCCGATTTTGGTGAGTACTCATGTTTCTTTTTCAAATAAATTATTTCTTGCTTATTTCTGACCATTGTTTAACACTTGTATTTCTTACCGGGCAAGTTGTTGTATATCGGTGAGTTCATTGGTTTCTTTGTGTTGTGCTTGAATAGCTATCTAGAGCATTTGTATTAGCTGCAAGTAACATTACGATGTACTTCTACATCATAAATTTGGACTTCTTTGTGACTGTTTCTTTCAAATGTCTCTTCCCCGTACTACTAGTTCATCTGGAGCAACTATGTTCACACCTTTATGTTCTTATCCTCATTTTACCGTGTTTACACTCAATTCATCATTGCCATGTAAGTTCCTGAACTTCTGAAGATAAGTGAACCTAGGATATCTTGTAGGCCCAGACATGTCTATATTTATATTTAGTGAGAGACTACGCCACCAAAGTCTTTCCGTGCCTCTCCTTCAAAAGCTCAACCACAAATATGAATACTATCTTTCTCTAATATATAGGTGTATATTAAAATTCTATTTCTCTGTTCAACTATATAGCCGCTCGCTCTCTGAATTTGTTCTATCATCGCATTTGCATGTTAATGCAGAATATGGGGGTTCATTAAGCTGAGTTGGTAGATCTGGGTTTAGGGAGAAAAAGTGTTATTCTGCTAGGCTTATTTGCTTTAAAGATGATCATTTGATAAATTAAAGTTCAGTTATTTTCTAAAATGAAGGTGGTAATTCTTTATTGGGAGATGCCTTTGGTTCTTCTTTAGAATGACCCTCCTTTGTGATCGACAACTACTATCTTGATATATCCCCTATATATTAATTCAAAACGTGTTGGGCCTAAGTGGCAGGCTCGCATGCTTCGGGTTCTATGTGGCAAAATTACATGGTTTGTTATTAGGCTTGGATAGATTTTAATTTACTTTCAATCAAAAAATAATTATGTTCGAATTATCCATAAATATGTTGATGATTTATGGTCATATTACACGTACTAATTAAATTTTAATATCATTTCTTAATATAACCATTGAATTGTAAATGTATTTTAGAAGTTAATAACTTTTTATTATTTTTATCACTTTTACATATATAATATATCAAATTAATCATATATCTCTTGATGAACTTCGATTTAACATCCATATTGTATACAATAACAACAACACCACCAACATACCCAGTATATTCCCAACTGGTTGGGGTCTAGGGAGTCAGTTGTACGCAGACCTTACCCTTGTAATTATACAAGGAGGCTGTTTCCGTAGCGACCCAAGGTGCATTGCGTCGTTTGATATATTTTTTTTTCTAGAAACTCCACTAATAGAAGAAGCACTAGAATTTAATTGAGCCATTTTGATCTAGTCCATTATTAGCACTATGCCAGTAGAATTGTCAACAATAACTCTTCCAGCTCCATTTGCAATGGATATAAACATCCATACATATATAAAATATAAATATTGTATATATAAAGAAATAAATTATATTTATTTTATAAAATTATTTTATAATATTAATTAAAAATAATATTATTTATCAATTAAAATATTTATATTTCAAGTAGTTATATGATATAATGTATAAAAAGTACTATAATATAATACGTGTAAGTCACACAAGTAACAAGTGTCATTCTAAATATATAATAAATATACTTTTTTGTAAAAAAATAAATAAAATTTAAAATAATGTTTCTCATTAATATTAAAAATTTAAGAATAATTTTTTACCAAGCACCTGTGTAATACACGGGTGTTGTACTAGTTTATTTCTGTTTGTCAATTGTACTTGATCAATTACTCATTGATTTAATTATGAGTCTTTTCATTATTATTGTTTCTTGAACATGATATATCAATTGAGTAAAGTTGGTGCTATTCACAGTTATCCTATCATTTAAATTTTTATATGGTGAATCAGGTGGTACATATTTGAGGAAACAGCCTTGTGTCTGTGGACGAGCGTTCTGTATGTTGGGTTCCTCAAATCAAATATATCTAAGGCATGGTATGTATATAAGCTGACTTATTGTAACAGGGAAAGTGCCTTCTTCTGTTTTTCAGTTAATGAGACTCATATTGAGCCTTTCTTATATGACTATAATTTAGTATGTAAATCTATTTTACATTATGGTTTAAGACTTGATATTGATTGGAGTATCAACCAAATTCACACTCCCTCAGGTGGGTGGATGTAATAATGATCTTGCTCCTTGCTGCTTTGTCCATATCTCTAATCTTTCTGCTACTTCTGCTCCTGTTCCATAGGTATGTTACATACCTGTGGATTTGTATTTGCTTATTTCTTTTTATCTTTCTATAACTAAGTACTGAAGTGGTATGTTGGTGTTTGCTTGTTTTTCATGTTGTGCTTGATTCCATCCATAACTGGAAATTTCTAATCCGGCAGCTACCTTGTTATGACTAATCAAACCACATACGAACTTGTTAGGCGGCGACGGATTGTGTATTTGAGGTTTGTTCTTGAATACCCATAGGTTAATTTTTCATTCATTTGGCAAATTTTCACTCTCCTGTTCTTTACTTAGGTTTCACTGCTGTGCATCACAAGTGTTCAGTTTGTGCAGCTTAGATTTCCTTTTTCTTTGACATCTAAGATATGCATACGCGATTCTGGTAATTGTGTTTTGAGAGGTATTTGGAGTTGGATTTTGCTGCAGGGGCATTCCCGAAAGAGTTTACCCATTCAGTAAAGGAGTCTGCAGGAATTTGTACGTGTTCTGTTGCGCCAGAAGCAGCGTGCATAGGATGGAACCATTACCATCGACCCATGTGCTTCAGCAGATGTCGAGGCCCTACACTTGCTCTGATGTTCTATCTTGCCGATGCTGCTAATGTCGGGCCTCTGTAATTTTTATCAGATTATGAATTTTTATTTGTTATTTTTTTTACGCGTCCAAACTGGTCATTCAAAGGAATGCATTTCTTCTGCGGCTGTATTTAATTTTATTGAAAGATGGTGCATAGTGTTGTAACATCAGGTCTCAATTTGCAGAATATTTTTATTCTCGGCTGTGGACTATAGAATACATGTGTTTCCAATACGTTTTAGTTTATATCCTCTTGTGTGGTTTGGTGCCACAGGTGGTCTACTAAATGAAGTTTGGACAGTGTTTGGGTCCAATGTCGAGCTAATATTGGTAATATCAATATGATAAATACATCGACAGGAAGATTGCTGGGAAGGAAGATTTTGTAGTTCTCCCAATATATAGCTACTTGAAAATTGATGCAGTTTAACAAACTGGTGTATGTTTAATAGTTTTTGATTTTGAAAGTGACGTGATGTATAGAGTAATAAAATCGTGGCACATGTTATATGCAATGTCCTAAAAGTCGTTAAGCGCCTTGTAAGTGCTCGACCAGTCTCTACAGCGCCTAGGTTAGGTGGGGATTAGACAGATGCTTATAAATTAAGATTAAATTGTTTATTTATTATTTATTTTTATTACTTACAAAACAAAAGTATTTCAACTTAAAATAATTACACACTTAAGTCCAAATAATAATATTAATATATTATAAAAAAATATAATAACAAAATAATGTAATTGGTATTTAAAAAAAAAAAAATTGCCGTCAAGCTCGCTCAAGAGCGCCAAGGTCCGCCTAAGCACCGCTCAACTGCCTGGACGCCGAGCTCGCCGATAAGCGCCTTGGCCCACTTAGCCGCCAAACTATTTTTTTCAACTGATTCATGCAAATTGGAGGCTGCTGGACAGTGCCTAACCCGTTTTGTAGTACAATGGTTACTTATATATGTCAAGTTTTACGTCATTTCACTTGAAGTCATGTAGCACGATTCTTGTAGGAGTGAGCACTTCTTTCTTTTATCTGTTCCAGTGTAGAACCCTAAAACACAGATGAAATGGTCGCAATTCGCAACTGCCAAATACATCCAACTATCAAAGCCATCTCCAAAACGTGCACAGAAATGTTGCATATGTGTATCAGTAAGTGCAGTTTGGATTAGTATGACTCAAATCATCATATCATTTCACACAAATCCACATTAGAAAATGCTAGTTAGTAACTATCATCATATTCCTAACCTCCTGGAATTTTCTATTCCTTGTTTTCAAGAGTGTCATTACAGAATAATTTCACCCATTTGCTATCCACAGTGGCTAAAGAAACTGTTGTTAGCCCATCAAGCTTGTAAACCCAAGCACAATACATAGTAGGAACTAGGAACACACAAAATTCTCACCATTCAAACTTTTCTTTTTATTATTCCAGAATCAACAAGAATATTGTTCTAAACTCCGAAATTCCGCCAAGCAACTTCAATCGTATCAAAACCAATCATACATTACTAGCTAGTCTCGAATACCAACCACCGGAAAAACCCGGTGGACTAAATAAAATACCACAGGATCCCAAACGGATCGATCATACAACAAATTCCAGACAAAGAAGAAAAGGGAAACCAAGTACCGCCATATTTTTCTCCTCAACCATCGTGCCTGGCCTGAAAATCCTTCATGAAGGCCACCAACTTCTCCACCCCAGCCAGCGGCATAGCATTGTAGATCGACGCCCTCATGCCCCCAACCGACCTGTGCCCCTTGAGCTGCACCATTTTCTCCTTGGCCGCCTCCTTCACAAACTCGGCCTCCAGCTCAGGCTTCGCTAGTGTAAATGGCACGTTCATCAACGACCTCACCCCCTTCTCCACAGGGCACCTGTAGAACCCCTTGCTTCCATCAATGGCATCGTACAGGATGCCTGCCTTCTTCATGTTCTTCCTCTCAACCTCGGCCAGCCCACCCTGCGCCACGAGGTCTTCAAAAACGAGCCCACACATGTAGATGCCATAGCAGGGGGGCGTGTTGTAAAGGGAGTTGTTGTCCGCGTGGATCTTGTAGTCGAGCATCACAGGAGTTATCGGCTGGGAATTCCCAATGAGATCTGATCGGACGATCACGATGGTGACGCCAGACGGACCGACGTTTTTCTGGGCGCCGGCATAGATCAGGCCGAATTTGGTGACGTCGACGGGTTTGGAGCAGAAATTGGAGGACATGTCGGCCACAAGGACCTCGTTATCGCTCGCCGGGTTAGGGTAATCCTTGAATTCGACGCCGTGGATGGTCTCGTTGGCGCAGATGTGGAGATAGCGGGCGCCGGGAGTCTGGTCGAGTGCGTCGAAGCTCGGGATCTTGGTGTACTTGTCGGATTTGCCAGTCCAAATGGATCTAGGGTTGCAGTACTTGGAGGCCTCCTTGAAGGCCTTGTCGCTCCAGGATCCGGTGACGACGTAGTCGACGACGTCGTCCGGCTTGCAGAGGTTGAGCGGGATGGCGGCGAACTGGGTGGTGGCGCCGCCCTGGAGGAAGAGAACGGAGTATTCTGGCGGGACAGAGAGGAGGGCGCGGAGGTCCGATTCGGCCTTCTGGATGATGGAGAGGAACTCCTTGCCGCGGTGGCTCATCTCCATGACGGACATGCCGGAGCCGCGCCAGTTGTAGAGCTCGGACTGGGCGTGGAGGAGGACGTTCTCCGGGAGGGTGGCGGGTCCGGCGGCGAAGTTGAAGACGCGATCCGTGGATGAGGAGGCGGCGGAGGACGGCGGGGTCTGGAGCGCGGTAGAGGAGCATGAGACGGAGATCGGCTTCCTGGGTGAGGCGGACGGCGGGTACGAGAGGGTGGCGGGGAAGGCGGAGATCTGGGAGGTGGCGGCGGGCTTCAATTGGGTGGTGGGTGTGGCGGCGGACATTGAAATCGCCATTTTTGGGGAGGTCTTTTTGTGTTGAGCTGCTTGATTCTTCCGTATTGTTTTGTGTAGATGCATGTATGCTACCCAATTAATATTCGGAAAATAGATACATGTTAGTATGGGCAAAATTGCGCCTAATATCACCACCTTTACCGAAATTGTAAATTAATTACGATTTTTGGACTTTGACGCACAATATCATGATCTTCAATTTTTGGCAATACGGTACATGAAATTCCTCAGCTCCCAAAAAAAAATCGACGTGGCTTAAATTTTCCATCGCGGAGGCTTAGCTGGCGGTCCACCTCGAAGCAATACGGCGTCGTTTTAATTCTTTTTATCCACGTCAGATCAAAACGACGTCGTTTCGATATCTGAGTATTTTTTTTTTCACCTCAGATCGAACGACGCCGTTTTGAGTGGTAAATTGCTGATTAAATCCCCAAATCAGTCGATGAACCCTTCTTCAATCTGCAGGACAAAATTTTTGGGGCTGGGTTTTCATCATCGGAGAAGAAGGAGTAGGCAAAATGTCAACCAAATCCAGCTCATCTAGGAGTACAACATCAAAATTTACATGTATCCATGGTGAGGCCGAATTGCTGACCTCTAATACCGATCGAAATTCAGGTAGGAGGTTCTACAGGTGCAAAAATCGATTGGTAAGCCTAGTTTACATGTATCCATGGTAATTTCTTTAAGCATGTAGATTGTTTAAATTGGGAATTAGGGTTTAATGTCTTATTAGGTTTAGTTTTTCTGAATTTGGAAACCATGAAGTTGATTGATTATGGATTTAGGGAATTAGGGTTTAGGGTTATGGCTTATTAGGTTTATCTGAATCTTTAGTGACTTCAGTATTGCTATGATATCGAAACGACGTCGTTTTGATCTGACGTGGATAAAAAGAATTAAAACGACGCCGTATTGCTCCGAGGTGACCGCCAGCTAAGCCTCCGCGGTGGCAAATTTAAGCCACGTCGATTTTTTTTGGGGAGATGAGGAATTTCATGTACCGTATTGCCAAAAATTGAAGATCGTGATATTGTGAGCCAAACTCCAAAAGTCGTGATTAATTTGCAATTTCGATAAAGGTGAAGATATTAGGCGCAATTTTGCCTGTTAGTATGCTACCAAAATTTCCTATTTTTTCCAAGTTTTTATTGAACAAAAAAAAAATTGATTAGTTTTTAGGATAATTATTTAAAAAAATTTCATTTAAAATGTAACGCGAATTTAATTGTTAAATATTATCAATATAATTAAATAATATAATCGCTTCAAAGAAATTCATATTCATTCACTCACTTATTTTAACCAGTGCCTTAGTTTTATAGCTAAGCACCAAATGCAAAGATGAAATATAATCAATTTGTGTTGAAGTACGAATAATAGTCGTTTTGTCTTGCAATGATACAATTACCTTACTATAAATTTTCAATAAGTATAATTTCTAACACCTATAAATTGTTCCTAGAATTCTAAAAATTAACTGTAAATTCATAACATTGTTTATATATTCTAGAAATCATTTGTGGATTTTTAAAAATTATATAATTCAATATATTATTTAAAATGTTCTAGATAGCACTAAAATAATTTTTGGAATACTATAAATCATTTTGGAATACTCTGGAATACAAGGTTCTTATGTCCGGGACATGCAGCACTTCCGTTAGCGTCAAGTCTTTGGCCGAAGTCATTTTCAGCACCACCTTTCCCGTTCCAACGACGTTTGATGTCGAAGAGTTGCCCATGAATAGCTTCCTTCCGTCGGTAAGGGTATAAGACGAGAACATATCTCTATCCGCACAAATATGCCGAGTTGCTCCCGTATCGACCCACCATTCTCGTGGATTATTAACCAAGTTAACTTCTTGGACCATGGCGGTTAGATCGAGCTCAGATAAGTCAATGGGAACAGATTTATCTTCGGCTATATGTGCGCTATCTTTACCCTTCTTCGGGAGACGACAATCTTTTGCAAGATGTCCAGATTTACCACAATTGTAGCAATTCCCTTTGAACTTCTTGGTGCTCCTTTGAGGTTGTTTTCCCTTTGAAGTTCTCTTGCGCTTCTTATTAGAGCTTGACTCGGCCAAGTTTGCCTTAGCCTCAAAGTCGCTCCGGTTGGCCCTTACTTCAGATTTTCGATTATCTTCCTCAATTCGAAGTCGAACAATCAAGTCCTCCAATGTCATCTCTTTGCGTTTATGCATGAGATAGTTTTTGAAGTCCTTCCAAAGTGGTGGTAACTTTTCAACAATAGCCGCAACTTGGAAGGCCTCATTCACAATCAATCCTTCGGCCAACAAATCGTGAAAGATGATTTGAATCTCTTGAACTTGGCTAACCACCGACTTGGTGTCCACCATTAAGTACTTTAGGAATTTGCCGACGAGAAATTTTTTAATCCCGGCATCTTCCGTCTTGTACTTCATCTCCAAGGAATTGCATAACTCCTTTGCCGTCTTAATCGGACTATAAACATTATAGAGAGAATCGTCTAGTCCGTTAATGATATAATTTCTACACAAGAAATCATTGTGATGCCAAGCATCCGAGGCCGTACGCTTTTGCATGTCGGTCTCACTTTCGGGGACGATCAAAGGGTCCTCCGAAAGAAAATGAGAGAGGGAGAGAGTTGTGAGGTAGAAAAACATCTTTTGTTGCCACCTCTTGAGCCATTAAACTTCGGCGGTCTCTCGCCTTGGACAGGAGCAGCTACCATCGGTATAACGGTAGGTTGAGCATTTGTTTGGTTTCCTTCGGTTGCCATCTTATGAACTCACAAATATTTCGTCTTAAGAATGTAGTTTATAATTTCTGTTTTGTATGTGAATTTCAAGAAAATGGCTTTAAGAAATATAAGGAATTTTGGTAAAACGAACAAAGTCGAGGCAAGTAAGATACGCTCTCCTTAAGACGAAATAGCCCCGTATATTACCCACGGTTCACGACTAACGCCTCCAAGATACAACGACTTTTGATTTGTGTATAGTGGTAACTCAAATACACAAACCTTCGGCGAACAATACTTAAGTTTCGGAACTCTCAAGATAGGAAAGAACACAAAGAACACAAGATGATATGAACTTTGTAAAAAGGATGCAAAAGTTATGGAATTATTTGATGTCATGAATGATTTCATGTTAGTGGGTATTTATAGATGTAAGGAGACAACTCCAAGAGGTTTAAGTGTCAAAAGACACCTTTTGGGACGTGTACGAACAAGAACGGATGTATCTAGTGGCCAAAAGATACCTTATGGTCACCAAGGGTTGCGACCCTTCGATTTCCGCAGCCAGTTGCGCGCCCGTGCCCCGCGGGCTCGTACGAGCTCATACGGACTCGGAATCGAGTTCTGTTTTTTCCTACTTGTCCCCAACGAGCCCCTCTACAATTCTAGCATACATAATGCATATTTATGGCTCGTTTAGTTTATCCAAACATTTATTAAAATATAATGTTTGTGAACCCTACAACCTTTTGAGTTGTTTAAACTCAATTAATTAAAATACAACACTTAGAATTAATTTCTCATTCACCTTAAAAAGGTTTTGAGACTTTTCTAAGTATTCTACTTACGAAAAATAGAATCGTTAAATCGGTACAAAACCAATTTTTCCTTACACATTTTAAATATTATACAAACAAAATCAAAATCCAACTCAAATATACATATAAATCAACTTTTTCAAAATTATCTCACTTTATTAAATAAATAAAATAAAAACAAAAAAAGTTTAATCACCCTTAAAAAATCATTAAAAAAATGTGGTACTTTGTCAGAAATATGTAAAATCCTCCACTTGTGGGAGCTTAGAGTACTACCATTACATTTGTGAGTGTGTTTCGTGTAATAGTTTCTAGGCTACATATGTTCTCGTCGTGTAGGTTTCTCTAAATTCAGCTGTATAGCTGTTTCAGTCGGTTAGTTAAACACTTGTAAATATGTGGTAATTAATGAATATGCCGTTTAAAAACCAAGATATTTATTTTAAATTAATATTATCTTTTTGTTTATATCTCAAGAGTAATTTTTTTAAATAGCTAATTAGTTTCACTTTGCATAGCAAATCTCGTAAACAATTGCTATAATAATAATTTTAATACTTTCTTTTAGTTAATGAATTGGTTATGATACCTTAAATTTGTAAATCTTACATTATTAATTAAATTTTGTGCAATCTATTTATCATTCATATATGGTAGTGAAATAGATTTTACCCGGACTCATTCAATTCGAACGACCTTCGTACCTGTAAGAACCCAACGCCGAGAGGGGTCTCGGCGTCAAGCCTCTGATGCCTAAGTCAGCACTTGCTTCAAATCAAGAGTGCAAAATGAGAGTGAAGTGGTGAATGAGATATCTTAGCCGAGAAAATTGTAATTGTAGTCCAGCAACTTAGGTTGTTTCCCATTTTAGTCCACTAACTTAGGCCGATCCAAATTTAGTCCAAAAATTCCCAAAAGTTAGTTAAATCAGTCCAATTGGACTAAAATTGGACTGAAATTGGACTGAAATTGACCAATCAATTTGACTGAAATTGGACTGATTTAACTAACTTTTGAGAGTTTTTTGACCAAATTTGGATCGGCTTAAGTTAGTGGACTAAAATGGGAAACAACCTAAGTTTTTGGACTAACTTTTGAGAGTTTTTGGACCAAATTTGGATCGGCCTAAGTTAGTGGACTAAAATGGGAAACAGCCTAAGTTACTGGACTAAAATTGCAATTTTCTCTATCTTAGCCCATTTTACAGAGGAGTGTATTAGAGCCCAAGTTAGGCTTGACCCATACCATTATGACATGTGTCTTAGCCCATATGTGAACTTATTTTCCAATGTATTCATTCTTATCTGTTAAAACTGGTCTAGTATAATATCCTATATCAATATATATATAAGTCAAATATTTTATAATTTCATTATTTCTTTTTATTAGTGTTCAAATTTATAAATGTGCTATGTTGTTATCTAACTTATAGTTTCAAATAT